TAAGTGATGAGGACATGAGTTCAAACCATACCAAAGTTGTCCGGGTTCCGACTATGTACCAACCACCTAGAACAAGGTCCGGTACAAAGACAATGCGGGAAGAATTCAACAAAGTTGTGGAGAGTTTGATAAGCTATAAAGAAATGGAGAACACCATCACACAATTCGATAATCTCACCCTTTGTAGCAATAAGCTTAAACAAGAAGAAAGAGAGGCCAAGGAGGAGCAACAAACAAAGGTTAAGAGTCTAGACTTAAGTGTTGGCCCAAGCTTTTATGAACCAACAAGTGAAAGGCCTCTTCTCAAGATAAGTCAAGCCCAAGTTCTCTTTGTCATCACACCAAACGACGCCACTTAAGGAAACGTACGAGGAAAACGTCCCAAGGCCGAGAGCTTCCTCCCCAAGCTAAGGTATGCGTTTAAATCTTTTCAATTAAATGTCAAATTTCCTTTTCTTTTGCAGGTTGGTTGAAATTAGTCTAGATTTATTTTTGTCATTTATTTCTCAATTATTTGTTGCCTTTTATTCTCTTTTTCAAGACCCTAGAAGGTCGAGGCTGTCGACATATTAATAAGGTCCATTGCAGCCATTGTAGCTCACGTTTTTGCATATTATCAATAAAGAGAGAATTTTCTTTAAGTGTTTACGAGTTCACCGATCTTGTGCGGGTTCCCCTGGATTAGTGAGTTCTTCGACTTATCACAATCTCACTCATCGATTGTGTGGCGTCCCTCGATCCATTCCATCCCTTAGCCGAAGCAGAGAAAACCGTGTGGTCCTTTGTACCGGCTCCATCAACTCTGATTACGACATCTACGTAGATAGAACCGTGTGGTCATCTACTTGGATCCTATCAACTCCTTGATCTTATATCATTTTGGTATCAGAGCTGATTGTCTACGGATTCAAGCCCACAACACCACTAGATCTTTCACCAATACCGCCTACGGAACAAACAAGCCAAGATGGTGTGGCTAAAGCCGAGGCCATCAAGAAACCACATGAAACAGTGAAAGAAAATCTCGAGAAAAAGTCTGCAAAGATAAAACAACAAGTTGACAAAGGAAGGAAGGAAATGATTTTTGAGCCTGGTGATTGGGTTTGGTTACACATGAGACCCGAAAGATTTCCAAACCAAAGAAAGTCCAAACTATCGCCGCGTGGAGATGGTCCATTCAAGATATTGGAACGAATCAACAACAATGCCTATCAACTCGAGCTTCCAGGTGAGTTAAAATTTTTAACAAGTTTCAATGTCGCTGATTTGGCGCCTTTTCTTGAAGGTGAACCGCATATGGGGACAGAACCCTCTCAAGAGCGAGAGAATGATGAGGACATGAGTTCAAACCATACCGAAGTTATCCGGGTTCCGACTATGTACCAACCACCTAGAACAAGGTCCGGTACAAAGACAATGCGGAAAGAATTCAACAAAGTTGTGGAGAGTTTGATAAGCTATAAAGAAATGGAGAACACCATCACACAATTCGATAATCTCACCCTTTGTAGCAATAAGCTTAAAAAAGAAGAAAGAGAGGCCAAAGAGGAGCAACAAACAAAGGTTAAGAGTCTAGACTTAAGTGTTGGCCCAAGCTTTTATGAACCAACAAGTGAAAGGCCTCTTCTCAAGACAAGTCAAGCCCAAGTTCTCTTTGTCATCACACCAAACGACGCCACTTAAGGAAACGTACGAGGAAGACGTCCCAAGGCCGAGAGCTTCCTCCCCAAGCTAAGGTATGCGTTTAACTCTTTTCAATTAAATGTCAAATTTCCTTTTCTTTTGCAGGTTGGTTGAAATTAGTCTAGATTTATTTTTGTCATTTATTTCTCAATTATTTGTTGCCTTTTATTCTCTTTTTCAAGACCCTAGAAGGTCGAGGCTGTCGATATATTAATAAGGTCCATTGCAGCCATTGTAGCTCACGTTTTTGCCTATTATCAATAAAGAGAGAATTTTCTTTAAGTGTTTACGAGTTCACCGATCTTGTGCGGGTTCCCCTGGATTAGTGAGTTCTTCGACTTATCACAATCTCACTCATCGATTGTGTGGCGTCCCTCGATCCATTCCATCCCTTAGCCGAAGCAGAGAAAACCGTGTGGTCCTTTGTACCGGCTCCATCAACTCTGGTTACGACATCTACGTAGATATAACCGTGTGGTCATCTACTTGGATCCTATCAACTCCTTGATCTTATATTAGTAAGAAATATTTCACAATATAAGAAATGTTTCATTTCTTTATTATGTGGTCGTATAGTCATCGTCTGTTTTCTATCAGAGTTGTTATTCCGTAATGTATAATTGGTAACCTAAACGAGTTTTCCGCTCATGGAAAAGTGGCGAATATGCAAGAGCATATGCATTAAAGGCGAACGATAAATATCACGGAATGGCGACATGCATCGCATAACGGCGACGAGTGTCGCAGAATGGTGACAAGTGTCGCATAAAGGCGACAAATGTCAAGGAGTCGCGACAAGTGTCACATACTGACGACAAGTGTCACGGAAAGTGACAAGTATCGTCGAATGGCGACAAGTGTCGCATTACGATGTGCATGCGTAACAAGTGTCGCAATTACGACATGTGTCGAACTCCTACGCTTCCACTTGTCACACATGCCTCCGGCTTTACTTTGATGGACGGTCGAAATCAATCCGGAGAAAACCCTAAAAACGGAGCTTGGTCCTCTCTCCACCTATATATATAAACCTTCAGTCCATCAGAAAAGGAGTTCCAAAAAGCTGCAACACTTAAAGAGAAAACGTTTGTAGGCCAGGGGAGAGAAACCGAGACTCCGATCTTAAGTTTAAGCTTCAGTCTTCCATTCAGGAAGACTTTTCCACTGCAATGAAAGGAGGTATTTCGCTAACCCTCTTTATGTTTCTATTAAGTGATTAATTCAGATATTAAAAGATTTTAGGGTTTATGTAAGTTTTCACTTACAACTTCATGAATCTATAATATGTGTTGAAATCGATTCTAAACATATATCAAAATTTGAGTCTTTGATCCTTATGGTTGTGAATATTCCAGGAGTTCCATGTATTTTTTTCTAGCTACCATTAGAAAATATACCCATAGCCTCCTCCTCTTTTGATGATTTATGGTTCCTCCAAGTAACCACCTATTTTTGAAAACAAATGGTTTCCTTACAGCAATTCCAATATAAACAAAAACTCAGAACATAAAAATCCAAATTAAAACAAACAAAACCCATTAATACACGTACACACAACTGTAGCCGCCCATGTACGTCAATTTATTCAAAATCATAGGATAGATTAAATAAATATTTATTTAATGCTTAATTAATCGAGTGGCTCCACCATAGACGAAGATAACCTATCATTCAAGTCAATTAGAGATAACATACTTGATTAAAAGCATAATCAATTACTAACATTTTGATTAAATAATCAAGCTTGTGGCTAGTTGTCAAGACTGCATGGAATACGTTTGTGCTGTACATTTTGGACCGTCTTTACCCCCCAATATGTATACAATTTTAGAAATCTTATGATTTATTTTAGTCATTAATCAACGTTGGAATCTAATTTTTAAAATTAGCAAATTGATATTTATTAATTGGTCTTTGTTTATGGTTTCAATTAGTCGGACTTTATCAATTTGCCCACGTGTGACGTGTCGAGCTTCCTGTCCTCGTGATTTGGTTCGTCTAATTAAGAATAGTTTGATACTACTAACAATTTGTATTTGATCGGGTCAAATTATGAAGAAAATACGACAAAAATAAAATTTCATAATTATCTGTAACAATCTTGAATACGGACTCTCCCCCACCGACAGTGCTTCAATGTTGTCGGCTTCTGCCATTTATTAAAATCTTCGCTAGGAACTTGAACTTGAGTTGGAAATTAAAATAAATATACAGTTCCTATTTAAAAATTGTTAATTAAATTAATAAAAATTCATAGTAATTCTTTTGGTTAGACAAGGTAAAAAATCTTTTTGCAAAATATAACTGTTTGCTAATAGAATTTGGAAAACTTCTCAGTGAAAGTATACTATTTCTGTCTAAACATCGCTTTAAGAAAATAAATACTTTTAATCGTTTTCTTTGACCATAGAAACACAAATTATTATTTTATATTATCGCTAAACATAATGGTTATTAAAATGGAGTGCACTAGTTTTTGAAGCCAACTTGTGTCGATGGGTCATAAACAATAATTTATTAATTGTATCTAATGACGATGAAAGCGTCTTAAGATGATTTCAATTAGTCGTGCATGGTTAAGTTGTTTTCTTTAGACTTTAGTCACTGCTTCCTCGCTTCCAACACAATTCTTTTCTTTATTTATTTTTGTGCAAAAGATTAATCAACTTGGAGCAGTGTAACAACAATTCTAAAAAGCAACATCTAATAATAATAAATAATCTTTACCTCTACTATTTTCTTCTTACGTTAGCACTTAGTTATTATGTTTATTCAAAGTTGATTTTGGGTGACTGAAATTTGAACTTGGATTTGGATCCAAATTTGATCTTACAAATGATTACTTACCGATGTTATCATAATTGTTGTTCAAAAAAAAAAAAAAACGATGTTATCATAATTAAGATTTAGTTCGGAAGTTTCATCGATAGTATATCGCTTTATCTAACATCCAATCGTAGTAACTCTAGTTATAATGGTTAAAGAGACTCTTTTAGGAATGCTTATTGAATCATGGTTATTTTATTTTACTATTGTAGACATTTTTTTTCCCGAGGTCTTTGGGTTACTTTATAGTAAATAACTAAATTTTATGATTTTAAGTGACATTGCTAAAGAATTTTAACAAAAAATAATAAGAATTTTTAAATTAATACAAATAATTAAAATTATCAAAATACTTATTAAAACTCAAACCATTTGATTGTTTTATTTATATTTTTAATCTAAATATTAGCGACATAATGTAATATATTGCAAAAAAACTTCCACTCATTCATCAAAATTAGATCAATTTTTCATATTTACATAAAATGCTTGTATTGGAATGTTTCTATATTTTGTAAATATTTTTAATATTAATATATTTGATTTGGTGAAAAAAAAGTAAAATTACTGCAAAGACTTCACACGGTTTTTTACCCCTCACGTTTATATTTTATACAAAGAAATCGTCAAGCCTACGTGTAAATATACGCCCCCCACATATTGTGGAATTAACAAAACACGTTTTATAAATTTTGAAACAAGCGATTTAGTATTAGTTAATGGTTTACCCATACCCGTCGACTTTTCTAAAAACATTTCTCATGTCAAAACAAAATAAGAAAGAAAGTTGGTCAAACCATGCATTTCACACACTATGTATTTGTGTAAACATTCATGCACCATTTGAATTTCAACTTTAGTGGGGATCTTCATCATATCTCCCTCCATATGAATTCTCGAGACCTAGCTATCAAATATTATTTAATTCAGTGTCTATGAATAAATAATAACATATATCAATATGTGATTTTTTCCAGTTTTCTCTAGTATAAAACTCTTAAATCACTTGTAATCAATTTCCTGGAAATGCAAAACAAACCTAACAATTCTCTATAAACACACACCATTGGCCGACAAAAAGAAAAAAAAAACAAATTCTCTATAAACCATCGGATATGCAAGGAGCCCGTACGTGGTTGGGCCCAAAAGCCCAAATATTTGTGGGCCTAATGGAATCTTTTTTTAAGAAAAAAAAAAACAATCGTAGTTCGATTTAATAACTCTTCTCCGGCGAGGTAGCTGAATCCCCGGTATCGGAGATGATGGGATCGACGTTGTTCAGGAAGAGATGTTTGGTCAAGAGAGCGAATTGTTTACTTTTCCGGTCGTTTTCCGTTAACAATGAGAAACTTCCCGACGCATCAGCTGAAATAGCGGGAATTCTCAACCAAGGGAACTGGCGTGAGACTCTGGTATCTTCGAATCTTTCGATCGAGATAAACCCAGAAGTAGTTCTCTCCGTTTTACGATCCAAACGCGTCGATGATCCTTCTAAGCTTTTGAGTTTCTTCAATTTGGTTGATTCTCAAAAAGTCACGGAGCAGAAATTGGATTCGTTTTCGTTTCTCGCTTTGGATTTGTGTAATTTCGGTAGTATTGAGAAAGCTCATAGTGTTGTAATCCGGATGATTGAGAGGAAGTGGCCTGTAGCTGAGGTTTGGAGTTCGATTGTGAGATGTTTACGAGAGTTTGTGGGAAAGAGTGATGATAGAGTTCTTCTATTTGGGATCTTGATTGATGGATACATTGAAAAAGGTTTTTTAGATGAAGCTGTATTTGTGTTTTCTAGCACTAAGGATTTGGATTTGGATTTGGTTCCTAGTTTGGCACGATGTAATCATTTGTTGGATGCGTTGTTGAAGAGGAACCGTCTGGATTTGTTTTGGGATGTGTATAAGGGGATGGTTGAGAGAAATGTAGTATTTGATGTTCAGAGTTATGAGATGTTGATTGGTGCACATTGTAGGGATGGGAATGTTCAGTTGGCAAAAGATGTTCTTCTCAAAACCGAGGAAGAATTGGGGACGGCAACGTTGAATGTGTATAGTTTGGTAGTTGAAGCTTTGTGTAAGAAGGGAGATCTGGATGAAGCACTTGAGCTGAAGAAGTCGATGAGTTGCAAAGGATTGGTGCCATCGAGGCAATCATACAATTTACTTATAGATGGGTTGTGTAAGCAAAAGAGACTAGAAGATGCTAAATCGTTGCTGGTAGAGATGAATAGTGTTGGTTTGTTTGCTGATAATGTTGCTTATAGTATACTGATTGATGGTTTACTGAAGGGTAGAAATGCAGATGCTGCGAACGGACTAGTCCATGAGATGGTTTCACATGGATTTAGCATCGATCCTATGATGTATGATTATTTTATTTGTGTGATGTCAAAGGAAGGGGCGATGGAGAAGGCAAAGGCTCTCTTTGATGGAATGATCACATTCGGAGTGACACCAGGTGCTCGGGCTTATGCTAGTTTGATCGAAGGATTCTTTCGAGAAAAGAATGTACGTAAAGGTTATGAGTTACTTGTTGAAATAAAAAAGAGGAACATTGTCATATCTCCGTATACTTATGGTACAGCGGTGAAAGGCATGTGTTCTTCTGGGGATCTCGATGGAGCTTATAACATTGTGAAGGAAATGGGTGCAAGTGGTTGCAGACCCAATGTGGTTATATATACCACATTGATCAAAACCTTTCTCCAGAAAAGTAGGTTTGGAGATGCAGTGAGGGTGTTAAAAGAAATGAGAGAACAAGGAATCGCACCTGACACCTTTTGCTACAATTCCCTTATAATTGGTCTTTCAAAGGCTAAAAAAATGGATGAAGCAAGGTCGTTTCTGCTTGAAATGGTCGAGAACGGATTTAAGCCTGATGCTTTCACCTATGGGGCTTTTATCAGTGGATATATAGAGGCAGGGGAATTTGCATCTGCAGATAAGTATGTGAAAGAGATGCTGGAATGTGGTGTAATTCCAAATAAGGTTCTTTGCACGGGTTTGATCAATGAGTATTGCAAAAAGGGGAAAGTAATAGAGGCATGTTCAGCATTCAGATCCATGGTTGAACAAGGGATCCTGGGGGATGCTAAAACATACACTGTTCTTATGAATGGTCTTGTTAAAAATGGTAAAGTAAATGATGCCGAAGAGATTTTCCACGAAATGCGTGGAAAGGGTATTGCACCTGATGTATTCTCTTATGGTACTCTCATTGATGGATTTTCTAAGTTGGGAAATATGCAGAAGGCTTCTAGTATTTTTGATGAGATGGTTCAAGCAGGTTTGACTTCTAATGTTATCATATACAACATGTTACTTGGTGGCTTCTGCAGATCTGGTGAAATCGAAAAAGCTAAGGAACTGCTTGACGAAATGTCAGGTAAAGGTTTTCCCCCGAATGCAGTGACCTACTGTACAATTATAGATGGATATTGCAAATCTGGTGATCTGGCTGAGGCTTTTCAGTTATTTGATGAGATGAAACTAAAGGGATTAGTTCCTGATAGTTTTGTGTACACAACACTCGTGGATGGGTGTTGCAGATTGAACGATGTCGAAAGAGCTATAACCATCTTTGAGACAAACGAGAAGGGTTGTGCTTCTAGTTCCGCCCCTTTCAATGCTTTGATCAATTGGGTTTTTAAGTTTGGAAAAACAGAATTAACAACAGACATGATAAATCGGCTAATGGATGGGTCGTTTGATAAGTTTGGCAAGCCCAATGATGTAACATACAACATTATGATTGATTATCTATGTAAGGAAGGAAACTTGGAAGCTGCAAAGGAGCTCTTTCACCACATGCAGAAAGCTAATCTGATGCCTACTGTTATAACTTACACATCTCTTCTAAACGGGTATGATAAAATGGGTAGAAGATCTGAAATGTTTTCTGTATTTGATGAGGTGATTGCTGCAGGAATTGAACCAGACAACATAATGTATAGTGTTATCATCAATGCTTTCCTGAAAGAAGGGATGACGACAAAAGCACTTGTGCTTTTGGATCAAATGTTTGCTAAGAACGCTGTTGATGATGGGTGTAAGCTAAGTATTTCAACATGCCGGGCTCTACTCTCTGGTTTTGCCAAAGTGGGAGAAATGGAGGTAGCTGAGAAGGTTGTGGAGAACATGGTTCGACTCAAGTATATTCCTGATTCTTCGACTGTTATTGAGTTAATCAATGAAAGTTGCATTTCCTCAAACCAGAGAATGGCAGCTGATGCAGCTCCTTAGATTTTTAGACGGAAAGCCAAAAGCAAATAAACTTCTTCTTTTTCGTTGTGGCTAAAAAGGAGTCTGTTGGCTCTGGTTTGGTTTACTGCCAATTTCTTGGCCAACATGAAAATTGCTGAAGGTTTGCAATTGTGTCAAAAGGTAACATTGATCCTAACCTGATTTATCTCTTTACAAGCTTTATCCTCTCACGTTTGATGATCTCTACGCAGTCGCAATCTTCTGATATGTCATTGTATATTTTTTCAGTTACCATTAAGAATTTGGAGTTGCTGTTCCTGAAACAACTTGTGTCTGCTCATAAACTCTTCTGGACCAATTCATTTGCTCCAGAACGGATTTGCCTTCAGCTAGACATGTTGGATCTCATTGATTTTACATGGCAGTAGTTTCCATTATGATGACGACAATCAGAAGTTGACGATGAAAGGGAGACGCATCTGAACTGTTTATCCTGTAAATTCCTCAATGTTTAGGCTCGGAAAACTCCTGTTCAAGAACAGAAATGACAATTCTATACTGAATGTTCATGTATAAAAGATTTGATGTACTGAATGTTACTATGATGATCAAATTATATAAAGTTCTTTATTCATCAGTCAGTATCAAAAGATGATAATGCAGAATTGCAGATGACTCGAAAAAAACAAATGAATGAAAGGATTGATTTGATATATTGATGAATAAAAAGCTGGCTGGTGATTTAAAGCAAGTTCTTCAATGGGCAAAACCAAAAATTCTGCCTGAAAACATAAATCTCTAAACAGAAGAACACAATTGGTGTCTTTGTCTCTTTCATTACACAAAACAAACAAAAAACGGATCTCATAGTGAAACCAAACAAAGGTTTTCATTTTACAGAACATACAACCCATAAAAAGACCATATGTACACCAGAGAGTATAAACAAGTATATCAACCTAACAAGCAAAAAAAAAAATAAAAAAAATCTACATGTCTTCTCTACGCTCTTCATGAACAAGTCGCTGATTATATGGGAAAAAAGAAAGAAAGAATATGAAACGAACTAAAAGGCGGAAAATGGCGAAAAGAGTTCAGTCGAGCAACACTCTTCTAGTGCTATACCATTCTGCTTTCATTGTGATAAGCTAATGAAATGGTCAAATTCGATTTCATCAGTGTTATCATCTTTTGGAGTCTGTTAATAAAGCAATCAGTTCGCTATCATTGAGGTCTGTCTGTGAAGCATATTTGACTGGTATGTTATTGTCTTTATCAACAGCATTTGGATCTCCTCCCCTGTTATTGAATTATTGTATCAGACTTATAATTCAAATCCTTATAAGATAAGACCAGTACAAAGAAACCTCAAGAGGAAGTATATTGAGTTTACCTCATAAGTAGCAACCTTGCAATTGCATATCTCCTGCTGATGATACAATGATGAAGTGGAGTCCGACCTTTTGAATCTGTTGCATTTATTTTTGCCCCATATTGAAGCAATAGTTCCACCATACCGATATCCGCAGAAAGACAAGCAAGGTGAAGCAAAGAACAGTCGTTTGAAGTTTCCTCTCTGACCATACTTTCCCCCTCACCTCTTGAGTTAGAATATCCCTCTGGATTCTCTTGAAACTCCTCTTCAATGCTCTTGAATTTCGCTTGAAGGGTTTCCTCCTTCGCTTCCATTTGCATCATCTTTGCTAAGGGCAAAGACACAGTGTATGATGCTTGTCCACGTAGAGCATTCACATCTGCTTCAGAGCAGACAATGTGCCTGTAAACTGATTTCTTGTCGTTGGCACGTACATTCTCCCATATCTCTTGGAAAACTGCCTGAAAATGCTGACTGTCTATTGCTTTGCGGACAAAAATCCTCTCTGAGTACTGCAGTTAGCCATTATATTAGCAATGGGTACACATGAGATCTTAAAAAGCTTTGCTTAGTAACTCATAGAGCGACATATACCTTTGCGTGGATAAACAACTCTTTCACAGAAATGGGATCATTGAAACCAGGCTTCCTTACAAGCAATTTTCTTGGTCGATCTGACTTGGGAGTGCTGATAAATAGAAATATTTTAAGACTGTAAATACATGTAAGAAGTAGTTTCGTTCTTCTCTCAATTACAAGTACTCAAGTCACTTACCCCGAAGATCTACTAGCACTGGAAGATCTACTCTCCGAGTTCAACAACTCCTCCCACACTGAGTTTACATATACATTACCTAACGATTGGAATAATGTCAACACCGATGGTTCCCATACTTTAACATCAAGAGTGAGTGATCTGACCTGCACGACAGGGTTGGATAATTTATACCAAAATTTATAGAGCTAATTTATGGGAAAATGATAGTTCATGCTTTCCCCTTTGTGGAAATTTTGCTGGATGTGTATAGTTTTAATGGCAAACCTTTGAAATATGAACACCAAGGTTACGATGGATACCAGAACACTCAATACAAATAAGGACACCGAGGTTCAAAGAGGCCCAATCAGGTTCAGGAGCACCACAGTCTGCACATCTCTCATTACCCAACACTCTTGTCAAGACATCAATTGGCTTTTCAGTCTTTACCATATCATGTTGCTGCAAGCACCCTGAAAACCTCGAACGGTTTCCTCCTGTCATGGGATGTTCCACTGTGGATTCTCCACTTTCTGCCTGTTCGATATCATAAGGATCTGCTAAAGAACCAGAATCACTTGCAGAGAAAGTATCACCTCCGTCCACAGTAGACAGTCGCTGGTCGAGTTGAAGGTAAAGGATATATTAGTCAACGCGAAGATGGGTCAGACAAGAAATAATCAGCAGTAATACCGTATAAAATCTAACCATGATTGCTCTTTCAGGTGTTTGGAAACTCAACAAAGAAGCAATTACTCCAGTTATTTTTTCGATCCAGTCCATCTGATCCTGTGCGTTCTCTGCCTACATCAATAACGATTTAAATAGTTCTGGTCACTCGGGGATGATGAAAGAGAACACCAAATTTAAAAAGGATCCTGAATCCTAATAGAAGTTTCTGTAAGTTTCATAGAAGAAAATGAAGATCTTTCGCTTGGAAACATACCTGCAATGTATAAACTTTCGTTGGTGAAATTATTCGAAAGCAGAATCTTAGATCGGTCTGATCTGCATCTACTTTGATCGTTGAGGTCAGCAGATTGACGGTGTGACGTGCAACTGGTTTTTCATCGTGCACACCAGCATGATAATGAGAAGACAACCACCGACTTAGCAGCCCAGGACTGTTTTCTGAAGTCATATTCCTATGAACAACAGAGCGACTTCCATTTCCCTGATACATAGAGCTTCAAAGATTCAGTAAAGATAAAGTACATCACCAATCTGATCTATATGTTTTCTCAAGAAAGGATCAAAAACACAATTATTTTTGGTTTTGCAACTTACTGAAGACCAATTCCATGGCTTGCGGTAATAGTATAGCATCCCACGGCTATCAAGGATAAAGAATCTTCTTTTCCAGTCACCTCTCAAGTTTGAGGAACGTTTAGACAGATACCCTTGTCTGATAGTCTGAACCTGAAGGACAATTATATCAACAGATAATTATAAAACAAAAGAGTATAAAGATGTGAGAGCAGTTTGACGAGTAAGCCTCAATACAAAAGATATTTTTCCTTACCTTTCCTTTTGCAGCAGATTGCATGACGGCCTCGATGACTTTCTGTGAGTTTCTTGAGTTATGTCTCATGCCATCCCCTGTTGGAGAACCACTGGAGTTTCTAGTTTCACGATCAACTTGCCTTTGGTATTCCTGCATCCTTTCATTAAGTGATGCCATCTCATAGTTTGCACATTCTCTAGACTGATGTGCATAAGCTAACACCTGCCATAAAATTTCAATTAAACACAGATATACCTTGTACTATACTTGGATAAGAAAGGATCTGGTACAGAGAAATATCTGTAAATGCAAAAAGTGCTGCTAAGAGTATCAGACCTGATTAATAAAAGGCTCCATTTGATGTAGTAGTTCATATCCCTGAAAGAAGGAATCACTCGTGAGAAAGCGAATCAAGTGGTTCTTATCAGAAAACAGGAATAGAACCCATTATGTGATATGTTTCCTTGTAAAACCCAAGCTGATTGGATCCAAGGACAGTTATTTATTTGTGGTCTTGCTCGGAAATTAGTTTTCAAGACAAAGCTTGCCTGTTTGAAGAAACGGAGATGAGCATCCATAGTCCCGCTGACTGCTTCCAAAAACTCAAATCTCTTTTTAGCCTCCGCATTAGAGAGTGCACTAACCTGGCCAGGAAGAAGTAAGCATCATTATGTACGGTTATATGAATGAATACCCTGTAAAATATTTGTAGCATCTGAATACAAAGCAGTTACCAGATGGAACCGTGCTTGCTCGAATGTCGTTCTTGCGCTATGTAGGTCCTGCAATGTCTCTCTACCAAGTTAGTTTTTGCAGAAAACTGTGACTAGTTGTAACCGAAGACTTCACAAAAGTAATAAGATTTTTACATACCTCCTCAATTGTGGCAGCCACATCCAGTCGTGTGCTCTTCCTTAATGAAAGATATTTCTCTCGTGCCTGTTCCATTTAGGTGCACAAATAATTATGTAGTTTTTCAAAGAAACTGGGAAACCATAATTTTACCCATCAGTTGACATATTATGAAGTCAATCAACGCACCTGATCATATGTAATGGTAGCTTTGTCAAACCGTTTACGAGCTTCCTGTGAGAGAAATTAAAGGTGGATATAAGTCGAAGCAAATCAGAGAAAATGCTGAACATAACATGCAAGAATTTGAAAGGATTATCAGAGTGATTTTGCTATAATATTTCGTGAATATACCTTAACTTCATGGACATCACCATTCACAAATTGAAGCAACCGGTCATTCAACGTGTGTTCTACCTGAAAAGTGTTGACAAGACATCATAGTTTAGCTATGCATCACTTCATTTTTTATGATATCAACATACAGCGATAACATTGAAGGACATGGAGCTAAAAATTTCTCAAATAAATAATAAAAACAAGCCCAGAAAAGAAGGCGTAGTAATTTAGAACAAAAAGAAGCAGGCAACCGATACTAAAGCCCGACTGAGCGCAAGATAAGTGAGATAAATTTAAGGAAATTAGTTATACCAATAGATAGGCAATGGTTTTCAGTAATACCTGGGAACGAAGAACTTCCTTGTATGTCCCGATTTCTCGTAGAGCGATAGTGAATTTTGTCATTACAGGACCTGAGCAAATAACTTATTTCCTTGAGAAATGACTCCAAGAAAGATAAAAATGACTCGGAGAATTCAGATTAGTAAAATTTTGAAGGAAGAGTAAAGACGATGGGATATATAAAGACCTCCAAAAGCAACACAAATAGGATCATTATGGCCGCCTCCGAAAGATTCAAGTGCATTTACAAAGCCAATATCTGCATCATAGCCTTCTCCAAGGCCCTCCCTAATAACGCAAAGAAACAATCAAAATATAGAATTTGGTGAATGAGACGTGATGTTACCAATGAAGGGAGGGGCTTACGTGTATTTTCTGCATCCTTTATAGAACCTTAAGCAACGCAATCGCAGCAACTCCGCACTCTCTTCCATAGATTGCATCTGTTGCACAAACAAAAATGTTTTCAATCACTGATACTTTGGTGCAGATACAAGAGACAAAATATATCAAACAAGTTACAGTTACAGGTCAAAGATAGATGTTATTACTGTTGATCCAAGTCAACTCCTAGATTTTGACACAAAGCACATTGCAAATTTCATACCAAGAAAAAAAAAAAGATTAACGTTTCCTCCACAATGTATCTGAATTTAGACAGGGCCATTGTTTTAACAGAACCAATTCGAAAATGTCTTTGATGATCATCATAGAATAGATTATAACGAGCATTGGAAACGATGAAGAAGCTAGAGAAACAGAGACGATCGAAACAAATTAAAAAAAAACCTGTTGGCGAAACATGGGAGAATCATCGAGCTTAGCGAAATGCATATCTTCTGCGGGAAAAGCAAGAGACCCAGAACAATGCTCTTCCTCTTCCTCCACCGTTTTCTTCTTCGTCGTCTTCCACTTGGAATAATGCCGATTACCGGACAGAGCTAATTACGGTGTTTCTTTTCTTCTTCCAACGTATAGTTTTGTTGTCTTTTTCTGGAAAATCAAAAAGCTTAATTTGGGGATTAGGGTTGGTTGAGGAGTGGGGAAAATGGGCGGAAATTCAGGAAAAGATCGTGGAGTGGGGAAAATGGGCGGAAATTCAGGAAAAGATCGTGCGATGGAGACAATTACCCAATTATACTTTCTTCTCTACTCTCTTTCCCATTCTCGTTGTGGTGGTCATCGTGTGCAAAAACCTTGAAACCTTCCATGCCTGTCATGTCATTTTTAATATATAATTAAAACAATCCAAAGTTCCAAACAAAAACAAAATTAAAGGAAAGCTTATAAATTTTAAATTAAGCTAACCCCACCACTTTCTGCTTCTTGTAATGGAGGGAATAATCGTCCTTTTTATTCAACAGTTTAGAAAAATATCTATAAAATGTCTACTACTTAATTATGATAAACAAACACAACCTTAAAAAGATCACGAAACTTCAAATTACGGGAGTATTATTTTTTTTACTACAAACAATTTAGAAAATTGCCAGTCAGATTTGATAGATTGATTGGGTATGGGAGGGATGAAATCATTATTAAAGTTATTAAAGGCATGACTCCAAATAATACTTATAAGAGAGAGTATTTATCATTTACTAATTAGGAAGCTGAAATCTAAAGTAGTTGACTTTTAATAAATTGATAATTCCGAGACTAGGACAAGTAGACCAACATCCTAAACGTGTGAGAAACTAAAAACTATTTCTTGCATTAAGAAACTATACATCCTTATCGATATAGAAAATGTTTACGAAAAGAGGTTAAAAAAAAAAAAAATGTTTACGAATGTTACATTCTTTTCTGATTCGATAACATGGACCGGTTTTCTAGACCGTGCTTCCAATCTTTTCTACAATCCTCAAGTATGTGACCTTGTAAATTATATATTAGAAAAATATAGAACCCATATTTAGTATACGACCATTAAAATTGGTCTATATTTCCAAAATTTCAAGTGTCACTAAAATGGAAGAACAAAATGTCTAAATTGTGATTCTGTAAAAAATCGACAAAATAAATTAACAGAAATCTTATGCATTTCGTTTTAGAAGCTAAAAAAGAGCAACAAGTTTCAGAGTCTGGTAAAAAAGGGGAGATTGAATCCGAGATTCTTTTTTAACCTTAGAGAGAAAGCCGGTTTAAAGTTTTTAGGACTTTGTCCCCCAGAGACTAATACGGCTCATGAAGCCTCCTCCTTTTTTCTTCATCCTGTTTTCAATATCTGGGAAGTCGATGCAATGGTAGGCAAGGTCTAGAACAATCGGATTACGCGGTATTGATTGGAATGCCGGTGGGAACCGTTCAATCTTTGGTGCTGTTTTCGTGTTTGAATCCCCAACCGCAGATTCATACACATCCAGTTTGTCTAACAGGTACTTCTCCTCCACCTGGTTTAACATACAATGTAAGAGGAACAAAAAAAAAAAAACATTAGAGTGCAATTTGGTTATGAGACACTGGAAAACTACACAAAAACTCAAAATCCGGATCGCACAATGGAAAACTTCTGATGCTTGTTGAAATTTAATCTCTCTGATGTGCAGAATAAAGCATATGATCAGAAATTACATGGCTACTCATATCGGGCATTTTAATCAACAAGTTTCAGACACCAAGAGTATTTAGATGGCCGAAGAAATAAAATAGGCATAAGAAATAAGGTGAGAATTAAATGTTTATACCATCAGCCACTATTAAACAAGGCAAGATAGTGAGATTGTACCTGCGCAGCTGTATCGTTTATTGATATAGTTGAAATTCTATTCGACAGATTCTCTGGAACCCTCTCTTCCTCCATAATCCCGGTCGCATGCTCTATGCAGCTATTAGCTCTGCATTCTTTAATCAGTGTCTTCAGTTCCTGGATTGTTCCCTGAGAATTATTAGAATAATTTAGTCAAAATTCATATATGTTCAGTGAAAAGAATATTCACGATATTCAGTCAACATGAGGTAACATAGTACACTTCTGTTCACAATGACTATGGAAGCCATGCATGAAGTGACCAATAAATGATGAGCTCGATACCTCATCTTTCTTTGCTATGCTTTGAAACTTGTTCAGGGCATCTTCAGCAAGAGATCGAGCACGAGAATACAGGGCGAATGCTTCAGCCCTCTTTCCAGCTAGACTATATGACTTTGCCAAGTAGAAGCACCTGAAAGAGATTAGGGAATATATCATTAGCTAACTCAGTCAAGGGCAATGAAAACATTGAATGTATCAGTACATATATGGAAAGAACCACGTGAGTATATGGAACAAATTGTAATAATATAGACCAAAATGTAGGCGAAGAGGATGACTGACCAGGAAACAGATGCCTAATTTAATGAATAAATTGTACTAATGTTACATATAGCTAAGTATAACTCTAACCACAGACGAAAAATCATGTGAATTGTAAAGGAAGTCCACAACTCAATACAATAATGTGAGAGCATTAAACCTTTCAGCACGGAAGGCCAAGCTTTTGCGCTGACACTCTTCTTCAAAGGCAATCTCTTCAGGTTTTCTGTCTCTTCCAGAGCTAATGAGATCAGAAAGATCAGCGACATTCTGAGAAAAAGAAACACAGGTGATGTCTCCCACTGGTTTAACAAAAAAAATCTGCTTCTGAAGAAAAAAAGAGGTAAACATTGGTTACCTGTAATAGAAGGTCATACAATCGAACAAGCTCTTCAGGCCTAGTAACCTTTTCACTTTTATCATCACGTTTCCTGTTCAGTTTACTCTTTGCTATTTTAACCAACAACTGGTTCCGCTCAATGGTTCTTTGTCCTAGCACAGCTCCAACAGCTTTGTCCAAACCATTTAGGTCATCTTTAACAGATTCAGCATTTCCTGCACTTACCTAAAAATAGTATGCTCCTCAGTAAAATCAATCAAAGAAACAGTAACGCAACAAAAAAACTAACGCTCTTACTCTTTGGGATGAAAAAACTTGTCTACACTTTCAAAAATCTTTTAAAAGGTCAACCTTTTCGGTGAACCCAATCAATAAATTAGAAGATGGCTTGTAAATTCACTCACCAAGTCATTGCGTATTGTGTTCCTGGCATCATGATATGCAGTGAATAATTTATCAAAGATGGTTAGCTTTTTCTCTACAGGGAGAGATTCTGCTGTCGGACCCTGTAGCTCCTTCTCAAGTTCCTGGGCTGAATAAGGGACAAAGAATAAGAGCCTCAGAGAGGTGCTCGACACTCTATAAATTATCTTAATAAGGTAACGTATAACTGTAACCCCATTGTAAAGGTAAACCAAACTTTTCAGCATAATAAAGGAATTAAAAAGAGTAAGGAAAAAGTTAGTCAAACCTTTTAAAATAGAAACCCGAGATTTTGGGTTCGAAACCGGAAATCTGTAGCCAAGCCAATTAAACTCTGTAAGAGATGCAGCTTGTTGAGATCTAGCCTCTTCCATAGCAGCCTACGTGACAGTGAGTGTATAAATCATATTTATAGACCAAAATGTGTGAGGAAGCTGAGAAATAGTTCACCACTAAACCATTGCAAGACATTCAAGAGTAGCCAAGATCTTATACATGTAATAAGTTTTCATGTGTGTTGGTCTCAGGTCAAAAGCGAGACTCTAAGTTCCTAACAACAGATGGAAAAACTAACAGACCAAAATTTTCAGCAGAATGTGGATTATTGAAACATAGATCTACAGTTATTCACTTGTTTTGGAGGGGACGCTGACAGAAAAATGATATTTTGATCGTGAATATTTATACATACCTCTATTTTTGCTTTGAAAAGATCCAATGCAGGGCCTTCCATCTCACCAATCTGAAGAAGTTCAGATGTCTGCAAGTTTGACTTGCCAATTTTGTGTAGGCAGTATCGAATACTAGGCTCAAGCTCCTCAACCCGTTCCCGGCAAAGAACTTGGTTTTCTAGATCTCCATATTTCCCAAGTTCCTCATAAACAGCTCTGCAACAGGGGGTAATTTTCAGAAACGAAACCCTACTAAATTGCAAAATGAAGATATTGAACAAAGACGAACCTGGCGTTTTTGAAACATGCCAACCCAGTTTCCCAATTTTGATCTTGCTCAAACAACAGAGTTCCTTTCATATAGGATGCATATGCCTATAAAACAGTAAGATAAAATATGACGACTCAAGTCAAGCGTTTATAGAGTAAACACACGTACATGAAACAACTAAGCTAAAAGCCTAAAACTGAGGTATTCTCTTCTTTCTTTCAAAGTAGTGAATATGTTGTATGTAAATTTATGAATACTGCAACACCTGAGGTCACAGAAATACCTCAGCTTCCAGTGATGTCCTGGAATCTGTCTTAATAGAGCACAAACTTGAGAAAAGGGAAGCCCATTTAACTGCCTTCCTTAGCCTACCAACCAAATATATCCGCTGCCGTGCATTAGGCCCATCTGGTAACTGTCTTTTTTCCATTGCATGGCTCCATGCTCTTTCCGCCATATAGAAAACCACATGAAGGAACCTATTTCAAATAAAGACATAAAATTAACTCAATTATGAGCAGGTGACAAAAAAAAATAACTTACTAATTTCTAGTGGAAGTAACAACTGAGCCTTCAAATTCTTCCTATAATGCTCAGCAAAACGCAAAATCACACTAAGCTAACAAAATCTTTGGCTTGGAAGGAATAAGGATGGGAGCAAGAAGATAAATACCTAACATCAGTGACGGTTGATTCAAGAATGGCTCGTCGAGTGTATTTACCACGGCCATGAGTGAATTTCAAGGACTTGTATAACCTCCTCAAACGTGCTGAGCAATACCTCCTACACAACAAAATAACACAAATTACAGAAAATGACCTTAATTTAATAAAATGGCAAGTAAGCCAAAGAGCTTAGGGTTTGCTATTAATACCGATAGCGAGCATAGTCACCATGACGCAGACCATGTTGCGCCTGAGAAGATTTCATCAGCTGCAGAACTGAAACACAAAATGCAATTTTGCATTGATTAAAAACTTTTAGAAAACATATATTATTAATACAAAATCACAGAAATCCCCTCATAAAAACTACGATTGAAGGAATCAAACAATGGCCAAATTCGAGATTCCCCTAAGCAAAATTCCCAAACATGCAGATACTTAATCATGTCTATAATTTTAACCACCGATTAGTCTCAAAAACACCAAAACAAGCAATTATGTATATTTGCATTCCCTGAGAAATAAAAACTAACCATTGATCGAGAACCTCGGAAGGATCTGATCAGAGCTTTCAGACTTCGGATCGTCGATCTCCATTGCAGACACCTCGCTCTCCTTCTTCCCCATTAATCCACACAATCCTAGTTAAAACCCCGCTGGAGAAACAGACCAAAAGAAATAAAAAACAAAAAAATACCACGCGATATATATAAATTGAGGGCTTCATAACAAAACAAATCGTAAGAAAAAACAAGAGAAATTCAGCTCAACTATTTCATACTTTTGATCTGATGAGATGATTTCACGGTTGTGCCAATGGAATATTCCGATGTGGGCGACGGCGAGCAGCGGAGGCGTGCGAATTTCAGTTTTCGATTGAATCTCAAGCAAGCATTGGTTAAAATAAAAGAGAGGACGAGACTAGTAACGAAACGGGTCGGTGTAGAAATCTGAGGTTTTGGGGTTTTGGTAAACAAGTCCAGATTTAATCCGGGTATACATGGGCCTGAAGGCCCAGTCCATGTAATATCGACCTCTCGGCCAATTAATCCCTCAAATATTATCTCCAAAGCAACGAATTGAATTTGGGATACTTATTTTTTGGAAAGATGTTTTAGAACTATAGTAAAAGTTTACCACATCTTAAATTTATCATACCATCTTTAAACTATATGAACTTTATTTAAACATCTTAAAACTACACATACCCATTAGACTTTAGATTAGTTATTTCATACCAAAAAAAAAAAAGAAATCCGTAGATTTATTAGTTGTATTATTTTCAACAAATATAGATAAAGTGGTTGGTAAACCTTATAGATTGACGTTATAGTTTATAAAGTCAGTTTTAATTAAAACCATTATATTTGTTATCAGTTATTATAAAAAGTCAAAATAAAAAACAATAGTTAAGGGTATTGGATTTTGGTACCGTAAGTTAGATAATGTAGTTACGCTTAATATAAACCTTTTAAGATATATGTACAGACTACAGACCAATGTAAATTGGTGACAAAAATTAGGAAAATAAAAGGGAATAATATTTTTTTCCAGGGTAGATAATGCTAGTTAATATTGAAAATCAGTAGATAATAAATAAATAGACCGACGGAAATCTTATAGAGATAACGGGATCTGGAGAAGAGACCGCGTGGACCATATTAACAACCAAATAATTCAAAAATGATTATAATACTATTTAGTTTAATTATCCAAATGATAATCTAAAAAGGTTTATTATATGATGTTCCATAATTCCATTGGTTATTGCTTCTGTCTTGCTTTTCTGTCCAATCGTCTTCTTCAAGATTTAGCACGTGAAGAAGTCTATCTTATACTACTATTTATTTTTCATGGTATTATTAGTTTCAATCAAATATTATAGAGTTTCCACTCCAGCGAAATTTCAGATATAGTTTGACTCTCAGAAACCAAAATTTGGTGTGTTTAAATTTGTCTCTATTTCTGAAAAAAAATAGTGTGTATTGATACAACTTACAACAGAAAAAATAGAAACCTATTTTGATAGACAAAGCATCTAGCATTACATGTACTTATAAGAATTAAAATATTTAACATAGTAGTAGTATTTCACAAAATAAATTATTCGCTTACCAATGATCTCATTCTCAAGTTTTGAATAGCTTTAGATGTTAACTTAAGTATCATATAAATAATTAATTAAAGATCCATACTGTTTCAAACTTCCAAGGATGTAGGCATGTGAGACTAGCGTGACACTACTAATTCTATAACAAAAGCTCTTTTATTAAATGCTAATTATAATCGAATCTCGCTTGTTGATTAGCAAAACTGGAAGACGGTTCAAAACCGGTTAGGTTCGGTTAGATACGGTTAACGTCTTCTTTATTGTGAGTGTTGCACACGTAATTTGGATGAATCTAACGGGTGGGTGCACAGAGATAATAGATGGAGGAGTAAGTAGAGGATCACAGCCCATTCTGGGATTTGCTGGTCAGCTTTTGATGTGTATACTAATGGAGAGTTGACACGTGGATACGTTGAGAAGAGCATCTTTTAAGAATAAATGCTTTTCTAATCCTTCACGCAGCGACCAGCATTTAAAATAACGGACAGTGACCCTCTCTCTCACGCCACTCGCTCGCTCGGCTTGTTTTTGTCAGCTTGGCTTAGCCGGCTAATACCAGAATATAAACTTTCTCTACTCTGTTCTTGAGGTTTTTCTAACTCTTACGTATTTTTAAAAATATTGGACCGCTTGTAGTTTATTTTTGTTAGTTTCCAATGTTTATTTTTATTTTCCCCTTTTGGATTGAACTTAAGCCTCTAATAAGTACTTACGTTCTAACTTATCTAGTTTTATTATTCAGTAGATAAGCATAATCGAACAAAAATATATAAATTCTTAGTTAATTGAAAATCTTTGATTGGAGACCACACAATCTATTGAACGGAAATTAAAGTTAAGGTAAAGTAATCCTTTCTAACCAAAGATCAAATTTGAGATACAACATTTCAACTTTTTTCAAAAAGACTATGATCTACTGCTAGATCAGCACTTGCTTGATATTGCAAAAAAAAATTTAAGCTAGAAATATGAATGTTGTGACTAGTTGGAGTGATTTGATATTGTTTAATGTTGGTTTTATGTACAATATTGTTTATAATATTTACATTTGAATTCAATTTCGATCCTATTTGAGAATTTTCGCTAAATTCTGGCTTTGTTTAATTGACTTGAATCGATCTAAAAAACCTTATTTAATTTTGGTTTTGACTATATTTCAACCCTAAAAGTTTAACCGAATATTTTAAAATCGTATTAAAAATATTTGAATCGCTTTGATGAAAACTTTTATCGCAAATAATAAGACCCGTGAGCGGGAAAATAAAAAATATTCTCTTTTATTTTATCATCAAAAATATATAATAGGAACGGAAAAGATAATTACAACACCGAAGACCAAAAAAATTAAAGTTTCCGAATTATGCCGACGGATAACATAAAATTTCGAGAGACTAAAAAAACATAGGAAACCTAAAAAACAAAATAAGCAAAAATGACAACATATGAGAAATGACAAATACATCTATCTTGCAAAGCATGAAATACACACAGAGAACCTGAGATAGCTAATTACCTAATAGACCAATGCTTCATAATCCTAACTATCAAACAAAAAATACTTTTCTATATATCTCATATTTTCAAAATTGTTTTTGTTTCAACCAAGAAAAAGGGTATTTTATTCAATTTTTAAAAAATTATAATGTCCGACGGAGATCCCAACACAAAACACTTGATGAAATCTTTAAGCTAAACATTTATATATACAGTGAAATACATAAATACTAACATTTATTATCGAACACATAAACTGATTCATAGATAAATACATTTTTTTTTGTCAAAGATTCATAGATAAATACATTCATAAACTAATTTAAAGTATTTGTAAATACATTCACATACGAGATATCGTAAACGACACTCACCTTCAGCCACATTTCATGGCCGATTGGCTATGTGACTGCATTTCCATTTATTTTCTTCTTCTTATTTTCCCCTATTTTGCAATTTAACGTGAGACAAAAAAAGATAAATACATGGACTAATGTTGGATAACTATTTTTTTTAGTGGTCTTCAATATTTATACCATCCTCTTTATTTTAGATCATCTTTTGATATTTCCATTTGGTAGTTCGAACCTAGTCCTGCTAAATATGATATTATGGAGAGTCAGAGAGATTTAACCATCAAACCAATTAACTTCACTTGAAGTCTTCATTGATGCTGATTATTATTAGTTATATCTTTGTTATACTATTCATTAGAAATCAATGAATTGTACTACAAACTTAGGCCTAGGCATATGGGTAATCCGTTCGGGTTCGGGTAAAACCCGTTCGGGTTCGGATTGAATGGGTAATGAATTTATGGTCCATTCGGGTATTCCTATGGTTTTGGTTCCGATCCGGTTCGGGTATTATCGGGTTCGGGTCGGTTTGGGTAATACCCAAAGTTTAAAATCACTTTACATACTCAAATGATCAAATAAAGAGAATAGAACATCAAACATGACATTTAAATACTAAATCCAATCCAAAATAACAAAGATGACTATTTCACTCTTAAGTGTTAAGAGTAGATTCTAATTATCTATATACATATATAAACATATGTGTATTGCATATGTATAAGTATATAACTATATAAGACTATATATCTAATTATCTATATACATATATAAACTCAAACGTCAAAAGTCACAAAACCTAAAACCTAGGACATACATATAAGTATATAACTATATAAGACTATATATCTAATTATCTATATACATATATAAACATGTGTACTTCTTCGGGTTTGTGGGTACCCTAAATGGGTAACGGGTAATCCCCGACCCGACCCGATACCCACGGGTAATCCAATACTCTACCCAATGAAGTACTTTCTAATACCCTAACCCGCTCCAACCCGATTTTTTCGGTCTGGGTATCGGTTCGGGTATCGGGTCCGGATTTTTTGCCCAGGCCTATACAAACTTGTAAGAATACTAAAGCCAGACTTGACTTGAGAGGTAGAGAAAACAACAAAGCAAAACAAGAATCATAAAGACAGTGAATATACAAGTAAAATAAATAATTCAAGCTCGTCAAAAATAATAAAAAGAACTAATGAAGGAAAATAGCGTTTTAAGATATAATCTTGAACCAACAAACCAAACATTACCAACAAAGATTACTCAATTGCCAGATGAAGATTTATTTCTCGGTAGCTTATTTAGCTACATAAGATATTATATCTCAAACAATTAGAAATATAATACGATTTATTTTTAGGTTTTAATAATACAGTCAAGACAATCACATTTTCAAATTTTCTTTTTGCAAAAACTCAACATCTTTCTTAAACTCTAATTAATATCGGATTTATGTACTTGTTTGCATTTAAAATCAAGTACGAGACTAAAAACATAAGCAAAAGTGTTTCAACTAAAAATGTCAATTATATCAATAACATTAAAACAACCTTTTTCATACATTTTTCTTCCATGATACTAAGGTTTGAAATTCCTAACTTAATTAGTACATATAAAGTTTTGTAGATAAAGCGAATGAGTCACATGTTTAAAAGAAAACCAAAATGATCCAACGTTTAATAGCCGGCTCCTTTGGTTTTATTACTTAGCCGGGACTCGAAGACTTGCCGTCGAGACTCTCGTGTGAGTCCGTAATTATTTATTCTTTAATTAAAATAATAATAAACTATCGAGTTGTAATCATAATCGAACGATCCAGATTCAACCTCATACAATTACCACTAGATCCATGGTACATGACAACGTAGCAGAGTCCTTCTCTCCTTCTTTTCCCTCTTTTGTTTTTTCCTCTCCCTCTCATTTTTTTTCTAAACCAACTAACCGCAAAAACCAAAAAAACCCAAAAAAAAAAAAAAACTCTTCTCTCTCTCTCTTCTCCGTTTCTCTCTCTGTCGGAGAGAGTGCCGGGATCGCGCGTCGGCGGGAATAGTATCACCGGAAAATCTTAAAAATCATCGCCGGTCACACGAATTATTCGTTGGAAACAACGCGTCGTGAGAGGAGGGGAAATTCGAAAAACAAAAAAAAAAAAATTTGAAAACGCCGATTCACTTTTTTTTTATATAATATATTTTTTTCTTTTTCGGAATTAAATATTCTGTGATGGATGCGATTGGATAGAAGGAAACAAAAAGGAAAGGAGGAAGATAAAAGAGAGCAGACGAATTATTCTCTTCACTTCTCTCTCTCTCTTTCATCTCTGTCTACATCGCTGTGTTTTTTCTTCAAGGATCGTGATACCTGAAGAAGAAGAAGAAGAAGGTAAATATAATAAGGTTTACGAGATCCACTGTTTGTTGAAATTCTGGTTTGAATTTGTTTAAGTTGTTTAAGAGGAAGCATAATTGTGTTTGTTTGTGATTAGGTAAGTTTTTTTTTTTTGGTAGCTGGTGATTAGGGTTTTGATTTTTTTTGGAAATGGTTTAATTCCGTGCCGAATTTGTAAATTAGGTAAGGGTTGGTTCGCTGTTTGATTATAATGAGCTGCACAAGGATCTGCACAAGGATCCGGTATTAGGCGAATTCTATAGTCTTATTGCTTCCGGATATACCTAATCGTCTCTTCCATGTATTTCTATGAGTGCCTCTAGTGGTTGAAGTTGCTAACTTTGTTTTGTCCTTGGGTTTGGCGTAATTGTAGTAGAAATCTTCTGTTTCTCTATTGTGGAGTTTTTTTTGCTTGATCTTTTGGCTTTTACGTGAGTAATTAGAGCCTTTCTATTTGTCATTCGTGCAAGATCTTCCTCGCAATTGACAAGTACATTTTGTTTCTGGCTTTGAATTTCATCACTGTTTTTGTTCATTTTTTCAGGGGAAGTTGTGATATGGTTCGTTGAAATAATATTAGAAGTTTTTCATTCTGGTTTTTTTAGTCAAATTTTGTTGTCATCTGCACGATGCCGTCTGATATTATGGAACAGAGAGGTGTTTCAACACCTTCCCACTTTCATGAAGATATTCATATTACTTCAGAGGTAACTCTTTTTTTTTTTTTTTTTTCACTTGTTTCAGGATTTAAACTGTGTAGCTCTAGAATTGCTTGTACCGTATGTGCCACATATGACATTATCTGCCACTACTTTCTGTGATGTCTAGAACTGTTTTTCTCAACTATACTTGTTTTTTTGTTTGGCAGAGGCAATTTGGGTTTATGAAAACAGACCTGATGCCTGAAAACCAAGGTGGTCGTGATAGACTTTCAAGTATGCCAAAGAGTTCCTGGACACCTGAAAGTTACCAGCTGAGGCCACAATCTAGTTTTTCTGGGTCACACCCCTCTGTTAGCCCTAACGCAAGAAACACTACAAATGGTAGTCAGTGGGAAAGCAGTTTATTTTCCAGCTCAATGTCTGATTTGTTTAGTAGAAAACGTAAGCTTCTGGTTAACCTTTATGATTTTTATTTATTGTGTTAGATTTTTTAATCAGCTTCCTAAATCTACAATCATCTATGTTGAACAAACATTGTTACTTGTGTGCTCTGACGTACGTACTGTACTTTAACTACTTTAGTGTGTCTCCAACTTGCTGTTTTTTGCAGTGCGGCTACAAGGAAGTGATATGCTATCCACTATGTCTGCAAACACAGTTGTTACCCACCGTGAAGAAGAACCGTCTGAATCTTTAGAAGAGATTGAGGCACAAACTATTGGAAATCTTCTCCCAGATGAAGATGATCTTTTTGCGGAAGTGACAGGTGAGGTTGGGCGTAAATCTCGTGCTAATACTGGAGATGATTTGGATGAGTTTGACCTCTTCAGCAGTGTTGGTGGCATGGAACTAGATGGAGATGTTTTTTCTTCTGTGAGTCATAGAAATGGTGAGAGAGGTGGCAATAATTCTTTTGGCGAACTTCATCGTGGGGAAATTCCATCCAGAACACTTTTGGTCGGAAATATCAGTAGCAATATCGAAGACTATGAGCTGAGGGTCATTTTTGAGGTACCTTCTTTCAGCAGCGTTTTTGGTTCCCACAGATTCTTTACTTAGGAAATATATGCTATGTAGACATTTTGGGATTGCTTACTTCGTACTGAGGATACATTTACTTGTTCAGCAATTTGGAGAAATCCAGGCTCTTCATACAGCTTGCAAAAATCGTGGCTTTATCATGGTATCGTTCTATGATATAAGAGCTGCTCAGAATGCGGCGAGAGCACTCCAGAATAAGCTGTTAAGAGGAACAAAACTTGACATTCGTTATTCTATCTCTAAGGTGTTATTCACTGTTCTTAAAGAAGATATTGTCTTTTGCTATATGGATTGCACTTGTGACTTGTGTTGATGTGTGCTTACAATTTTTCTTGCTATCAGGAAAATCCTTTAGAAAAAGATACATGTAAAGGAGCCTTGTTGGTTAATAATCTCGATTCTTCTATTTCGAATCAAGAGCTCAATCGCCTTGTCAAATCATATGGAGAGATCAAAGAGGTTGGTATACTGGGGTTCTCCCTGTACTTAAGTTTTGAGATGGATACTTATTATGTTTCTGTGGTTTGTAGATCCGTAGAACCATGCATGATAACCCACAGATATACATAGAGTTCTTTGACGTTCGAGCTGCTGCAGCTGCTCTTGGTGGACTAAATGGACTTGAGGTTGCCGGGAAGAAGCTTCAACTTGTGCCGACCTGTCCAGAGGGTACAAGGTAGTGATTGGGCTTTTTCCCCTGCTTTATATTCCATTGTGGGCTGTGAACTGATGCTAATGCTAATCAAACTGATTTGAACATGTGATTTGTTGTCAAGTCTTTACATGGACATCTACTGTATTAATGTATCATTCATTATTTTTTTCAGATACACGTCACAGTGTGCTGCACATGACGCTGAAGGGTGTTTACCTAAAACGTCTTATAGTAACACATCATCGGGACACATAGGTATGCCTTCGCATTTATGGTTTATAATTCTTTTTCTTCAATCTTTTGTCATCTTGGGACACAAATCATTGCAGTTAAATATCTCTGTTTCAGGTAGACATTTCCCAGGAATGATGTCTTCAACCTCCAATGATGGTGGATCTATGCGGGTTATACATAATTCTGTCGGATCACCTGTGAATTCCTTCATTGAACGGCATCGGAGTCTCAGCATTCCTATTGGATTCCCACCCTCAGCAAACGCCATCTCAGCCAGCAAGCCTGTAGGACTTCAGGAGCATGGCCACCATTTTGATAATTCAAATATGGGGATCCAAAGCATGCCAAATCTCCATCCTCATTCTTTTTCAGATTACGTGGACAACTTTGCAAATGGTAGTCCATATAAGTCCTCTGCATTTTCTGAAATGGTCAATGATGGCTCAAAAGCAAATGAAAGCTTTATGATACATAATGTTCGTGGAGTGGATGGCTTTAGTGGAGGGGGTAAGTTCTCTATCTTTAATGTGATACACTGATACTGTCTTGATAATCTCTGGTGTAGTACATTATTAGATCACAATCTTTAAGTTAAGACATTAAAATGGTCCTTACAATTTTAGTAGACTGTGAAATACTACAGCAATGCAACATTAGGTACTGTTGTCTGAATAGACAACTTGTTTACAACTGTTTTTTTTTCTTGGTGTAAAACTTGCCATTCTGGGGAAAATTGTATTAGCATTATGTTCTTAATGTCAGCTATCTAAACGGATTAGGGCGGTGTTGTACCGGGGTTTGAAAAAGAGAAGGGGCTGAACCTAATTGGTTTATATTAACATTGCTAATAAAATCTGATATGGAAGATTGTGTTGAAGTTTTTCTTTCAACTGCCATATGAAATATTCTCTTTCCTCACTTTTCGCTGTTGTGATCTTTTGACTGTAGGTATAGGATCTCCCATGCATCAAAGCTCCCGCCGCCCTAACCTTAATTTATGGAGCAGCTCTAACACTCAGCAACAGAATCCGTCAAGTGGTATGATGTGGCCTAACTCGCCATCTCACATCAACAGCATTCCTACTCAGCGCCCACCTGTTACTGTATTCTCTAGAGCACCTCCTATAATGGTGAATATGGCATCTTCTCCTGTGCATCACCACATTGGATCTGCGCCGGTATTAAACTCGCCTTTCTGGGATAGAAGACAAGCCTATGTAGCTGAATCTCTAGAATCATCTGGCTTCCATATAGGTTCTTCACCCTCACATCCAATGGACATTGGTTCTCATAAGACTTTCTCTGTTGGTGGGAATCGCATGGATGTAACTTCCCAAAATGCTGTACTGCGATCTCCTCAACAGTTGTCTCATCTCTTTCCTGGAAGGAGTCCAATGGGTTCGATGCCAGGGTCGTTCGACTCGCCAAATGAAAGATATAGGAATCTCTCTCACCGTAGAAGCGAATCTAGTTCTAGCAATGCTGACAAGAAACTGTATGAGCTTGACGTTGACCGTATATTACGTGGGGATGACAGGAGGACAACGTTGATGATTAAAAACATTCCTAACAAGTAAGTGAACTCAGTGTTTCTCTTTTATTCCTTGTTTATATCTTCTGCAACTATTTTTAGATTGCGTCTTTAGTTAAAATGTATTCTGTTTTCATCTTTGACTTTCCTTTTTTTTAATCCTGCTATGGTTTAGGTACACTTCTAAGATGCTTCTATCTGCTATTGACGAGCACTGTAAAGGAACTTATGATTTCCTTTATTTGCCAATTGACTTCAAGGCAAGCAGGCGTCCTACCTTTTTATATAAGAAAGTCTTATTAAGCAGACACGTAGAGCTTTTGGTATTTTGCATTATTGATCTAATCTAATCTTACCCTCTCATTTCAGAACAAATGCAATGTGGGATATGCTTTCATCAATCTTATTGAACCTGAAAAGATTGTCCCATTTTTTAAGGTACAGTCTTGTATTGCTGCTTTTTCCTATTGCTTTTGGCCTTTTGGAGAGCACTGGTAAAAAAACTCTAAAAAAAACTTCACAGGCATTTAATGGGAAAAAGTGGGAAAAGTTCAATAGCGAGAAGGTGGCAACGCTTACGTATGCTCGTATCCAAGGGAAAACAGCTCTTATTGCCCATTTCCAGAATTCAAGCTTAATGAACGAAGACAAACGTTGCAGACCTATTCTCTTCCACACTGACGGTCCAAATGCTGGTGATCAGGTAAACATTAATAAAGCTTCATACAATTTCGTCTTGTTTGGTTCCCATTATCTCTTTTTATATCCATATCCACTTCCTTCACTTCAAGTGTGATTTCATTATTATATCATAAGATCTGGTGATGCTCAGTTGTAGATAGAGAGGGCCGTAGTTAGTGAGTAAAAGAAGATTCATGTGATATCCTTTGTTGTTATATCACTACAGGAACCATTTCCAATGGGAAGCAACATACGGTCAAGACCAGGAAAGCCACGAAGCAGTAGCATTGATAACTACAACAGCTTTAGCATCTCTTCCGTTTCTGAAAACCGGGAAGAACCTCCTAATGGAACTGATCCGTTCTAACTAATGAGCAAAACGAAACAAAAAGGAGACCTGAAGATAACAAGAAGGTTAAATATATATATAAAGTATTATTATTATATGATATCATCCACACACCCTAGAGTTCTGTAAATCGGGGGTCTTAGATTTACCCTGACAAAACTCATTTTGCAGTGAAGAAATTTTTTGGAGAGATGAAAAACTTTGTTGACGACAAACCTTTTACCCAGGTTGTTGTTGCTTCACCAGTTTTGTTGTATTATCAAAATCCCCTGAGAAATATTGCAGGTTTTTTTTTTTTTTTTTTTTTGGGTTTTTGGGTTTACATTCAAGGATTTTTGGTTCTTGCTATCAATGTATAACAGCCTTGGATTACACTCAGCTTCTCTGCTGGCTTTTTGTGGCCATTCCATGTTGTATGCTTCTTTCATTTGGATATATAAAATATTATTTTTTCACCTAATTTTTATCTGAAGCTGTTGAATTTTACGAATGGCACTGACCAATATCATCCCTGGGTTTCATTGAGTATATCTTACAAAAGTACTTAGTACATGGTTTCCAGTGATTTCCACTAGACAGAGTTTGGTAATATATGATACGACATGGAGAAACCTATATTTTATACTGAAGTTTCTTAACAAAATTTTTATTCAAAGCTCTGTTATAACGTTTGGTGCTGTTAGAGGAAGTTCATACGATACAAGAGCCAAAAATCATCTGATGCGAGAGATGTGGCAGCCCCAAGACGACTTCTTCTCAAGAGACATCATCAACAACAAGAATAAGAACAACTCTAAAATAATCCATGTCGATTTTTAGGAGAGATGATGGAGAGACAAGTTAAGAAGGAGAAAAACAAAAGTGACTTTCTGTAGCAAATTTTTTTGTTTGTTTTGTTTTTGTCTGCACCTATATATGTAAATCCCGTTTTGCTTCTTGTGTATATAACCCTCCCTGAGAGATCACAACTTCTGATTTGGAACATGTCACTATTTTTACATCAATGCTGGATTTCTCCACATTTTGATACAATACTGTCACTTTTTAGGTCATCAATCGGACAGCTTCATAAATCAGAATCTCCGGCCGAACCTTCCTTTCTCCACAGAATCTGACCACACTCTTCCAGTTACCAACATCCTATGCCATCACAAATCACAACACATATAAATCATTCTGGCCTATCTAAGTGTACTATTTTCAACTCATGGAAGGAAAAATCAGCTGTTTCTTCTCACCTCTCCTGCTAAACACTCACGTCTGAGATTGACCCACCGATTCTTTTCATAAGCTAAGCATATGTGTTCTTCCTCTCCTTCACCACAACCAACCTGCGTCACATCCCAGATATTCTGACATTGTAACAAAGAAATACAGAAGAACAATAGCACAAACATATATGACCCTATTTCAGATTTTTTACCATTGACACAAGCCGGTAGTTAGTGTTTGGTTCTACGCCTTCTTCGTACAGCCTGCTGATATCTATCTCCCAGTCCAAAGCCTTTGTTGTTTCTGATATTTGTTTCTCAGTTTCACTCTTCTCCCATTCCAACACTGATATTGCAAACCCGAAAAATACCAACATTACTTTATGATTAAGCATAAATATGAAATTGAGTACAAAAGATAACAATCATGGGGGGTCAAAACTTACCAATGGTGAAGATAGGCGGGCATCTACGTATAATGTGATGAACATAGCTTTTCTTACCACAACATCCTGTTTTATTGTCACATAACATTTTATATCCCATGCGGATCAACTTAAGGATATCCACAAACTTTATATTCCCAAAAGCACACTGCATATATTCAAGCACAGAACAACTTTATCAGGGGAAGTACCTGCAGTTTCTGTAGGAAAGAAAAAGAGGATAATAAATGAAACATACCTTCAGTTCTCTGATCGAATCTGCAGCCATTACAATGCCATAACAACTTTGCACTGGAATATTTGTAATCCTTCTGCATTTTCTACAACTCATTCTTTTATTATCCGCCAATGTAAACAGGCGAGTTACCAAGCTTTCTCTTTCTGGAATTTTCCAGCAACGCCAAAAATTAAGGACGGCTACAACTACCTTAGCAGCATCACTCGACTGCAAAGAGTAAAAAATAGAATGACAATTAAGCTTATTGACAAGAACATTTAATAATATAATGCTCAGAAGCATATCTTCTCCACACGAACCATGGAAAGAAATTCTTCTTGGGAAGTCAGTAAGTCGCTTAGGAGGCAACTGTAGACTCCTTCATTTCGTATCACTTCTGAAACAAAAGCAGCAAATAAATTTTGTAGTGCAGAAGGAACTTGTTCTTCCCCGTGGTCTTGAAATGGTTGCCTATTCTTCATCAAATCTTCTTTGAAAATCTTAATATTCAAGAGGGCCTGCGATACAACATGTTTTTCTGAGTTTATCAAAGAGAATGAGGAAGTAAAGAGATATGGAATGAACTAATCAAAAGACAAGAGTTTAGGTATTGAATCTTGTTTTGGTTGGTAACTGTTTCACCTTCAGCGTCATGTCCAGAGCTGAATTGTATCTGGTTGTAACTTCTCCAGCAGCTGGCTCCAAATGTTCTGACAGTGAATCTTGTCTATGCATATCTTGAAAATGGTCAATGAATGAAATAAGAATTATGCATCTCACAAGAAAATAATTCAAACTATTGCTCAAATTGAGAAGCTTTTAACAACCAGGCTCATCTTCAGTAGCTTCCTCTTTAATTTCAGTTCTGGATAAAATTTCCAATCTACCCGTCTCACTTGCAAGAGCATCTTCTGGTTCCATAGAATCTTCTTCAACCGTTCTTAGTGATGGAGATGTACTCTCCGGTTCAAGGCTGATAGAAGGTTTTGGTCAGAGAAAACCCGAAAACAATTTATGACATACAAAAATGACCATTGAGGCACTTACTGTTCAACAGTCTTATCAAGGGTACTAGGATTGCTCGTTGAAGTTTTCTGTTGGGCCAAGAAGATCAATCAATCTTACAAGTATTATATACACAAACCATGGAATTCTACAAGTAAGGAAACGATATCTACATAGAAGATATGATATCCCTATAAGATAGGAAGACGTTATTGACTTGTTCAAAGAACCAACACCGGTATTACTTATTGTTTAACCGATATATCTTATATAAAGTATTTGCAGAGAAGCAAATAGAGAATTTAGAACTTCAAAAACCTTTTTGCTTTTATCTCTCTTCTTCTTTGATGGTGGCTTCTCCTTTGGTTGTGGCTTCTCCTTTGATTGTTGCTTCTCCTTCTCCAACTCGTTTAAAAGATTTGCTTCTGCTGCATCTGACTTGGCTTTGGATTCCATATTCACAATTTCATTCTAGATGAGAAGAGACAAAATAACATATAAGAAACAATTCAAACGCAAAACTACACGATAATGAAATCTCTCTGTATATAAGAGTTTCAAACCAACCAGCAAGAAAGGTTTCAGAACATGAAGGATATAAGTGCGGTTGTCAAAAGCAGAAAGCCTTGAGAGGTTGTTTAGCAAACTTATCCTTGAATTATCAATCAGCAAGATCTTTGTATCAATTAAAAGAACCTGCAAGTCATGTAGATGATTTTAGATGGACAATTTCATGTTATTCTGTTGTTAATGAATATTAAAGTCATGGATGAACCTTTTGGGTGACCTCTGATCTCAGAAGGTCTATGGCCTGCAACACTTTATCGTCACTGAGACTTTTGTGTTCACGTATAAGATTCAAGCAATCTTCTAAATCGGGGAAATCAAATGTTGGAAGCAATGCTCCTTCGAAAACATCTCGTACGGCACACACGAATAATTTTGTAGTAAGGGAATTTTTGGGGACTCTCTCTTCACACATATGGCATAGAAGAGATGCATATCTGCTCCATTGATCTTCCGGCAGATTCCTTCTCCTTTCATCTTCACTCATACACGTGTTCTCGACAACAGTAAGAGCTGCATCATAGTCCAAGAGCAGCACTTTCTTTGCATATTTGGTTCCCAGAGTCCTACATGTGAACTGAGCAGCTTTCAGAACAGCCATCCAGATACCAAAATTGTGTTCCCTGACAGGTCTGGGAAAGGTTTTGTCTACTGAACTATAGTCAGTTAACCAGGATATGATATCATCTCCATGAACTTGTGCCTTGGCGTAGTGAACACTGGGATCAAAAACATTGATCGTCCCTTCATCATTGAATGGAACATCATTGATTGTCAGCAGTTTTTTATCTAGAAGCAGAAACGAAAACTGAGGGTCAACGTCGATCTTTACTTTGACTTGAATACGATCTAAGACACTGTCTACTGCTGTGCAAACCAGATCTGTACCATCATTCCTTTTACACTTGATGGTTTTTAGAAAGTCTAGGATTTGATTGAGTTCATGACATTCCAGAAAACAGATACTCTGAGGTGTTTCCGATAGGTGAGAATCGATAAGCCCTTGTTTGGAAACTTCAAGTTTTCCAAGATACTTAACTGGAAAATGCATCACCCAGTCTCGCATGCTACCGGAGAGAATTTTAAGCTCGCAAAAAGAGACAAGGAGCAATTTGATTTCCTTGAGTAACTGCTTGCGCTCTTCATCCACAGCTAAAGGCCATTCTTTGGACCATCCAGTCTTAGCTTTAGATGCAAACGCTTTAACATCTGTGAGCTGATTCTTGATCATTTCAACGGCAGCTACTGCATCCACTGGTTCCCAATCTCCAACCGATATCTTACGAACCCAGTCTTTTCCTATCCTCTTGACTATATCCTTTTCTGAAGAAGGTTTAAAATCTGCATCGTGTTCTTGTTCAAAGTGATTCCTACATTCTTCAGCACTAGAGCACTTCTTCGAACATTTAGTTCTACACATCCAGAATGTCCATTTTCTGTCATTCTTGGCAGAAGCGAGAACTTGCTCCAAAGCGTCTTGTGCGTTTCTTTTATGTACTCCCCCGACGAAACTTATAAGCTTTGCAATGCTTACCTTCAGAAAGTCCCTTTTGATCTTAACATCCAATCCCACCCAATACGACCTCAACCGCTTAAACTCATCCTTAGACGGCTCTGGACTTTCCTTTGACTCCCGAACTTTTGGCTCAGGTATTGGTAAAGGAGAAGTCTTGGAAGCAGCGATCTTGAACTCTGCAGCTTCGATAAAACCCTCCAGTTCTTTCTTTTTTTGGGTTACTAGCGTTCGGAAACCCATTGGAGTAGCAGAACTCAGTTTATTTGCTTTAGTTTCAGCTAAAGCCTCTTTTGCTTTCTTCACGCATTTCTTGTAATGTGACACTGACCCAAGGTTTTTGGCCAACATGCAGAGTGATTGTGCACAAAGTTCTGATACCTTCACATGTTGCGAAAAGCATGCAACACAACCCAGCAAGTATGCAATTTCCATGTCACGGACCCCTGATTTTTCAGCTAGTTCTAAGAAAACATTACCTTGATCGACATGAAGAAGCCATGAGTCATTGGCTTTCCAATGGATTGAAAGCACATCTTCAAGTATCTCCAAGGCCTTGATGTGATTTCCTTTAGCGATGAGCTCTTCAGCGTCTTTGTAGAGTTTGTTCGCCGAAAAGTCCTTCAGGAAAGAATACTCCATAGTAACGATTCTTCAAGATTCTTGCGCTTTCTTGCTCTCCAAGGTTTTTTTTCGTTTTATGATCCAGAGAGATTTGTGAGAGTAGAGGCGGGAACAATCAACGAATATAACCGAAGAAGAGGCTGGCTTTTTTATCACGTGAGAGCCACGTGACACAAGGCTTGATAGAAAAAACAAACAGAGACCCACAATTTTGAGCATTGGGGAATTTTGTCGAACACCTTATGTGCATTATCCGTATGGGATTTTCTCGGAATAAAAAAATAACAAAAAAAAAATCCAAAAATTGTGTGAATCTTCGAATCTGGGTTAAGAATTAAATGTGGAATGGGCTTCATGTTGATGATGAACAGAATTCGTGAAAATGTTTGGACTTGAAGAAGGATAAAAAATTGGTAGAGACGACACCAGAAAATTCGATATATTTTTCTTTTTACAAAAGATGTTGAAAAACAATAATAACTCACAAATCAATCAGCACAAGAGACTGACACGTGTTTACTCTGTTTTCTGTTTTTTTTTTGTTTATTCTGTTTTATGTTGTATATTATGCTTAAAGAAATAATTTTATTACAGTTTAACAAGCAAATCTTTCAACAAATTTCTAAAAAGTTACTATTACATTCAAATTTTATAATTCACCTATCCATCTCTTGCAAACAGAAAAAATGAGTATAATATATTAATGTTTTGCTGGCAAAAATGACACAGCCTTTGCAAAATGTAACCTGATAAAACCCTTGTTCAAAATATGGCTAGGCGTTAGTCGGGCGGTGAGTACGGGCCTAGCGATTAATCGGAAATCGGAATTAAATCGGGGATTAATCGGGGATTAATTTTTAGTATTTTTATCGACATATATGTATATAAACTAAATATTGGAATATAACTTAAAGAATGACTTGGTCCAGTGGTTTGTTGCGTGTAGGAATCCTAAAGAACCGGGGTTCGAACACCGCATCTGTTTGTTTTTGCTCTTTTTTTTTTCTGGTTTACTGAAATGACAAAAATGTCCTCGTCTTCTTCATCATTCTCCGCGACTTCAAACCCTAAGCTCAGCCGTTTTCATTTTTTTTCTCACGATTATTATCGTTTTCTCTTATATTTTTAGTGATTTTTACCCAAATATGATAGATCTATACTTTCAAAACTGATTTATACCTTTATTTTCACTAAAAATAAAAGTTTCTAACATTTCCCGATTTGTTAGCCGAATTGATGAAATCGCGGCGGCTCCTGACTGCCGAGCGCCTAATCGCCGATTATGCAGCCGCGGAGGCCGCGTTTTTGAACAGGGAATAAAACTCAATACTATATTGAATGCTTATTTCCTTTTTTTTTTTTTTTGGACAAAAAATGCTTATTTCCTAATAGTAGTAATGCGGCGAGATTAATATGGTGGAGGTATTGATTTTGCCTGTTGAAGGAAGAGACTCTCACTCGCTCGGAGTATTCGGGGTTTTAGAGCATTTAAACGAACCAGAAAGATAACCGAGCCGGTTAAGTGGTTGTATCTGATGTTAGCGATGTCGTTTTAGCTCAAGCTCTTCTTATTCTTTCGATCTTTATTCTCTCGCTATCTATGTTTTCTTATCTGTGTAACACTCTAAAGACTCAAATGATAGTGAACTGAGAGGCACCGTAGTCATACTTGGATCACATCGATCTCATAAAAAAACTAAGTAAAGACAACAAGTGTCTTCTGGTAGATGAAACATCAATGCTGGACTTCTCCACATTGTCACTTGTTAGGCCATAGATCAGTTGATGTCTCTGTATCAATCAGGCAGCTTCATAAAACAGAATCTCTGGCTGAACCTTCCTCTCTCCACAGAATCTGACCACATTCTTCCAGTCACCAACATCCTATGGCATCACCACACGTATATCAACCATGTCTGCCTTATCTAAATTTTTACTAAACAATTCTGAGGAAGACAGAGGGTAACTATTTCGACTTACCTCTCCTGCTAAACACTCACGTCTGAGATTGACCCACCGGTTCTCTTCATAAGCTAAGCATATGTGTTCTTCTTCTCCTTCACTGTAACCAACCTGCATCACATCCCAAATATTCTGACACTATAACTAAGAAATACAAAAGAACAATAGCACAAACATGTATGACCCTGTTTCAGATGTTTTACCATTGACACAAGCCGGTAGTTAGTGTTTGGTTCTAAGCCTTCTTCGTACAGCCTGCTGATATCTATCTCCCAGTCCAAAGCCTTTGTTGTTTCATATATTTCGGTTTCAGTTGCACTCTTCTCCCATTCCAACACTGATGTTGCAAACCCACAAAACACCAACATAAATATATGAAATGAGTACAAAAGTTCACAATCATGGAGGTCAAACCTTACCGATTGTGAAGATAGGCGGGCATCTACTTGTAATGTGATGAACAGAGTTCGTCTTTCCGCAACCTCCTGTTTTACTGTCACATAACATTTTGTATCTCATGCGGATCACCTTCAGGATATCCACAAAATTTCTATTCCCCAAAGCACACTGCATATGTGTAAGCACAAAACAACTATATAAGGGGAAGTACCTGCAGTTTCTGTTGGAAAGACAAAGAGGATGATAAATGATAAATACCTTCAGTTCTCTGATTGAATCTGCAGCCGTAACAATGCCATAACAACTTTGCTGTGGATAATTTGTAATCTTTCTGCATTTTCTACAACTCATTCTTTTATTTTCCGCTGAGATAAAGAGGCGAGTTACCAAGCTCTCCCTTTCTGGATTTTTCCAGCAACGCCAAAAATCAAGGATGGCTACAACTACATTAGCAGCATCACTCGACTGCAAAGACTAAAAAATAGAATACCTTTAGAATAGCAATTAAGCTTCTTGAAAAAAACATTAATAATATAATGCTAAGAAGCATATCTTCTACACACGAACCATGGAAAGAACTTCTTGGGAAGCAAGTAAGTTGCTCAAGAGGCAACTGTAGACTCCCTCATTCTTTATCACTTCTGAAACAAAAGCAGTAAATAAATTTCGTAGTGCAGAAGGAACTTGTTCTTCCCCGTGGTCTTGAAATCGTTGCCTATTCTGCATCAAATCTTCTTTGAGAACCTTAATGTTCAAGAGGGCCTGCAATACCCCATGTTTTTGTGAACTTATCAAAAAGAATAAGGAATCAAAGAGATATTGGAATCAGGAGATGAGAGTTTAGGTATTGAATCTTGTTTTGGTTGGTAACTGTTTCACCTTCAGCGTCATGTCCAGAGCTGAATTGTATCTGGTTGTAACTTCTCCAGCAGCTGGCTCCAAATGTTCTGACAGTGAATCTTCTCTATGCATATCTTGGAAATGGTGAATGAAAGAAATAAGGATTATGCATCTCACAAGAAAATAATTCAAACTATTGCTCAAATTGAGAAGCTTTTAACAACCAGGGTCATCTTCAGTAGCTTCCTCTTGAATTTCATTTTTGGATGAAATTTCCAATCTACCCGTCTCACTTGCAAGAGCATCTTCTGGTTCCATAGAATCTTCTTCAACCGTTCTTAGTGATAGAGATGTACTCTCCGGTTCAAGGCTGATAGAAGGATATGGTCAGAGAAAACCCGAAAACAATTTATGACAAACAAAAATGACCATTGAGGCACTTACTGTTCAACAGTCTTATCAAGGGTACTAGGATTGCTTGTTGAAGTTTTCTGTTGCGCCAAGAAGATCAATCAATCTTACAAGTATTATATACACAAACCATGGAATTCTACAAGTAAGGAAACGATATCTACATAGAAGATATGATATCCCTATAAGATAGGAAGACGTTATTGACTTGTTCAGAGAACCTACACCGGTATTACATATTGTTTAACCGATATATCTTATATAAAGTATTTGCAGAGAAGCAAATAGAGAATTTAGAACTTCAAAAACCTTTTTGCTTTTATCTCTCTTCTTCTTTGATGGTGGCTTCTCCTTTGATTGTGGCTTCTCCTTTGATTGTTGCTTCTCCTTCTCCAACTCGTTTAAAAGATTTGCTTCTGCTGCATCTGACTTGGCTTTGGATTCCATATTCACAATTTCATTCTAGATGAGAGGAGACAAAATAACATATAAGAAACAATTCAAAAGCAAAACTAGACGGAATATGAAATCTCTCTGTATATCACAGAAGTTTCAAACCAACCAGCAAGAATGGTTTCAGCACTTGAAGGATATAAGTGCGGTTGTCAAAAGCAGAGAGCCTTGTGAGGTTGTTTAGCAAACTTATCCTTGAATTATCAATCAGCAATATCTTTGTATTAATTAAGAGAACCTGCAAGTCATGTAGATACTTTAGATGGGCAATTTCATGTTATTCTGTTGTTAATGAGTATTAAAATCATGGATGAACCTTTTGGGTGACCACTGATTTCAGAAGGTCTATGGCCTGCAACACTTTATCGTCACTGAGACTTTTGTGTTCACGTATAAGATTCAAGCAATCTTCTAACTCGAGGAAATCAAATGTTGGATGCAATGCTCCTTCGAAAACATCTCGTACTGCACACATGAATAATTTTGTAGTAAGGGAATTTTTGGGGACTCTCTCTTCACACATATCGCATAGAAGAGATGCATATCTGCTCCATTGATCTTCCGGCAGATTCCTTCTCCTTTCATCTTCACTCATACACGTGTTCTCGACAACAGTAAGAGCTGCATCATAGTCCAAGAGCAGCACTTTCTTTGCATATTTGGTTCCCAGATTCCTACATGTGAACTGAACAGCTTTCAGAACAGCCACCCATATACCAAAATTGTGTTCCCTGACAGGTCTGGGAAAGGTTTTGTCTACTGAACTATAGTCAGTTAACCAGGATATGGTATCATCTCCATGAACTTGTGCCTTGGCGTAGTGAACGCTGGGATCAAAAATATTGACTGTCCCTTCATCATCGAATGGAATATTATTGCTTTTTAGCAATCTTCTATCTAGAAGCAGATATGAAAACTGAGGGTCAAAGTCCATCTTTTCCTTAACTCGAGTACGACTCAAGACACTCTCCACTGCTCTACAAACCTGATTTGTACCATCATTCCTTTCATATTTGATGATATTTAGAAAGTCAAGGATTTGAGTCAGTTCACGACTTTCTAGAAAACAGATACTCTGAGGTGTTTCTACTAAGCGAGAATCAACAAGACTCTGTTCAGAAACTTCAAGTTTTCCAAGATGCTTAGCTGGAAAACGCATCATCCAGTCTCGAATGCTACCGGAGAGAATTTTAAGGTCGCAAAAAGAGAAAAGGAGCAACTTGATTTCCTTGAGTAACTTACTGCGCTCTTCATCCACAGCTAAAGGCCATTCTTTGGACCATCCGTTCTTAGCTTTAGATGCAAACGCTTTAACATCTGCGAGCTGATTCTTGATCATTTCAACGGCAGCTACTGCATCCACTGGTTCCCAACCTCCAACCAAAATCTTACGAGCCCAGTCTTTTCCTATCCTCTTGACCATATACTTTTCTGAAGAAGGTTTGAAATCTGCAGCATGTTGTTGTTCAAGATGATTCTTACATTCTTCAGCACTAGAGAACTCCTTTGAACACAAAGTTCGGCACATCCAGGCTGTCCATCTTCTGGCTTCCCTTGCAGAAGCGAGAACGTGCTCCAAAACTTCTCGTCCCTCTTTGTAATGTTCTTCTCCCTCAACAAAACTTGTAAGCTTTGCAATGCTTACTTTCATAAAATCCCTTTTGATCTTAACATCCAATCCCACCCAGTACGACCTCAATCCTTTAACCGCATCCTCAGGCGGGTCTGGACTTTCCTTTGACTCCCAAACTTTTTGTTCAGAGTTTTTTATAGTAGAAGCAACTAGACTCTTGGAAGATGCGATCTCGGACTCTGCCTCTTTGATTAAACTCAACAGTCCTTTATTTTTTTTGTCCAATTTTCTTTGGTCTTGCAAACTCAGTTGAGCAACAGAATCTGACTTGCGTGGGAGAGTAGTAACAGATAAACCTTGTTTTGCTTTCTCCAGAGACTTCTTGTAATACAATACTGACCCAAGCTTTTGGGCCAACGTGATGAGTGTTCTTGCACAAAGTGGGGATAACGAACCATCTTCCGAGAAGCATTGAACAGAACCCAACAAGTAAGCGAATTCCACGTCAGGGTTCTCTGTTTTCTTCGCTAGTTCATAGAACATTTGACCTTGTTTGAGATGAAGAATCCATGCGTTTTTGTCTTCCCTATGAACCAAAATCAAATCTTCGATTATCTCCAAGGCCTTGATGTGATCTCCATTATCAAAGAGATTTTTAACATCTTCGTAGAGTTGTAAACCCTCAGCATCTTCCATGAAAGAAGAATCCTCCATAGTGAACGATTCTCGAGATTCTTTCGCTTTCTTGTTCTCTAGGGTTTTTCTTCTTCGGAGAGAAATTTGTATTGCGAGAAGAAACAGATTAGAGGCGGGGAAAATCAACGAAAGTAACAGACTAATAACAGCAAGGCACCGTATCACGTGAGAGCCATGTGACATGGCTTGGAGAAAAACAAACAGAGACCCATTGGGGAATTCTATCAAACACATTGTGTGCATTACCCATTTGAGAACTTCCCAGAATAAATCATCAAAATAATGAGTCAAAATCTTCGAATCTAGCTCAAGAATTGAATGTAGAATCGTCTTCATGTTGGGGATGAAAAAAAATTCGAACTTGAAATATCAGCAACAAGAGATTCGACAAATCAAGTTAAAAAAAAAAAACCTATTGGCGGAGTAAAAAAAAAAATGGCGAGAAAATAAATATAACAGTTTCGGACCTAAATGATAGATAAATAAGCTTTGGTTGGGGAAAAAAACTGCAGAGAAGAAAGCTAGTGCAAATCTCCGTCTTCGTAATCAGAAAATCTCATTTTCATCTTCCATTAAACCTCTAACCAATCTCGACGTCGACGTTTCAGTTGTTGATGATGACGATCCTCTTTACGCCGACGTACCCAAGCCTCGGAAGGATAAATCGGAGAGGAAGCCGTATCCGACTCCGATGAAAGAGTTGATTCGTCGTGCGAAAGAGGAGAAACAACTGAGAAAACTACAACCATGTCGGGTTCTAGAAGATCCGCCGGATAATGGTATACTTGTGCCGGAACTTGTCGACGTGGCTCACTGTGTTCACCGATGCCGCAACTCGTTACTCTCTGGCCTCTCTAAAATCATTCATCATGTTCCTGTTCATCGTTGCAGGTTACTTTAACTTTGTCTTCATCTCTGTGTTTGATTTGCTAATGCTTCCTATTAGCTTAGATTGGAGTCAAATGAGTTACCTCAATTGATGGAGTTGTTGAGCTATTGCTCAATTTGATACTTGAAGCGTTTTGAGTGCTTTTTGTGGTTTACTTGATTGGATTTGGAACAGAAGATCCAGTGAGATTTGAAAAAATTGAGACTTTAGTCGGCTTTAGCTAGTTTTGAAGTTTGAACTTGTGTTGTTTGTTTTCAGATTGTGCTCTGAGGTTCACATTGGCAAGCAAGGTCATGAAATCAGGACTTGCACAGGGCCGGGGAGCGGTTCAAGAAGTGCGACTCATGTTTGGAAAAGAGGAAGAGCGAGTGATGTTGTGTTGTTCCCAAAATGTTTTCACCTCTATGACCGTGCTGTTAAACCGAGAGTTATACATGACGAGAGATTTACCGTCCCTAAAATCTCTGCGGTTCTTGAGCTATGCATACAGGCTGGCGTAGACCTTGAGAAGTTCCCATCAAAGCGGAGATCGAAACCTGTGTACAGCATTGAAGGACGGATTGTAGATTTTGAGGATGTCAACTGTGAAAATTCAGAAATTGCAGTTACTTCTACTACTACACTTTTACAAGAAGACGATTGTTGCAAGGAAGAGAAGAAGAAGAGCTTGAAGGAATTAAGCATCGAGACGATGGAGTCATGGTTTGAAATGGTTTCAGGGGTCAGGAAACTGATAGAGAGATACAAAGTGTGGACTTGTGGGTATTGTCCAGAGATTCAGGTGGGTCCAAAGGGACACAAAGTAAGGATGTGTAAAGCCACAAAGCATCAGATGCGAGACGGAATGCACGCGTGGCAAGAGGCGACTATTGATGATGTGGTCGGTCCAAACTATGTATGGCATGTTCGGGATCCTACTGATGGTTCTGTTCTTGATAATAGCTTGAAGAGATTTTATGGAAAGGCTCCTGCGGTTGTAGAGATGTGTGTGCAAGGTGGTGCACCGATACCTGATCAGTACAAGAGTATGATGAGGCTCGATGTGGTTTACCCTCAACGCGATGAGGTTGATCTAGTCGCTTGACCTCTTTAAGTAGTCAGCATTGTTTTCAGTATGGTCACATTGAAATACTCCCCTGGGGTCTATAGGTTCAGGTTCATCTCAATTCTTAATCCAAATCTCAATTCAAGCACTTCTCTAACTCATTACTCTCTTACTTTTTTTCAGAAGAAACAGGTTGATTTGAAAAAATGAAAACTCATATACATTAGGAAACATAAGAACACAATTGTGGTTCTTGTAATTCTCCCTAAATAGAGGAACCTTTTGGTCTCAAACCTAAAAAGTAAAAACCATTCAATTCTCGACAGCTTTGTTCCTTGCGGTTGCGATCTCACTTCGCAGCTTCTCAATCGCTTTAACCGCTCCAATTATTTTCCTCTCCATCTCTTTCAATTGCCCAAGTTTCTCTACGTTCCCACTCTTCTCTTCCTCAAACTCTTTCCTGTTCAATCAAACCAAATGGTTAAAACAACTGATGATGAATCGTTAACTGTTACTTGACATGTAAAAGACAATTCTTTTACCGTAATCTCTGGTGCTCCTCTTTCAACCGCTTAAGCTCTTGGCTCGATGCTTCTAAACTCTCTGCCTCAAGACAAACCTTCTTCAACTCTTTTATTACCAACTTCACCTGTGAAGCAAGCTCCTCACGTTCTCTGGCCAATCTATGAGCCTCAATGTGAGCTAATTGTACCTCCCTCCTTATATTCTCTCTGTTCTTGACCATACCCTCCATTTTCGCTATTTTCTCAAGAGTGGCTCGGATCTGAATCTCGCAGTCTGTTTCGGTCTTTCTGATGTGAGCTCTTAGCCCCTGGGCTTCACGGTCAGCCACGGTTAGGTCTTCCTTGAGATCTACGTAGCTTGAAGCTAGCTTCCGGTTATCACTAGAGAGCCGGTCTATCTCGGCAGCTTGAACTGCAATCTTGTTTTCTAGAATATTGGAAAGGGAAATCTGGTGGTCTCGAATATGATGGGGATCCGAAGCCGAAGAGATTGTCTCGTGGTGCCTCGATGATGATCCACTAGTTGACATGCCTTGACTCACTCGGCTATGATGCTTTGAGCCTATCCTCTCCCTTGAAGACATTCTGGAAGAAGAAAAACACAGACTCCACTCAAAAACTTAGATTGAAGAAAGAAAAAAACAAAGTGTTCCTTTTTAACATAAAAACATAAATTTTAAGAAGCAAATTGAGAGCGAAATCTAAACAAGACTGAGTCGATCACTCCTAAGCTATCTTATTTGCGACAAATTCTCTCTGCAATGAGATTTGAGGAATCGAAGACAATGGCAAATCTCTAGATTCGTATCTTGACACGAGCTAGAAGAAAACCCAGAAAGAGGAAATACGAATTAGAATCTCAAGCTAACTACAAGAGCCAATTTACCAAATACTAAGAAAACCTTTAAATATCATGCTTATCACAATTGGACGAACCTGAAATTCACAAAGAGAGATGATCTTCGATATAAATCAGCTGAAATCGAACACCGAAAGAGACACAAGTGTAGGGCGTTATGCTCTAAAAGCTCATCTCTAATCGATTTCACAACTGCACCAGCTTTGGTCTCAGCTTGTCAGATTTTTTTTTTCCAAATCTCTGTAATTGTTATTTTAAAAAAAAAAAAAAAAACTTAAAAAACCATTTACGACGGCAAATTATATAGCGCCCGGTATTAATTCATAAGGCCCATTAGATGGTTATTGGCCCATTAGATGGTTATTGGCCCATTTTAATATTTTTTCCTTCCATGTCTGTCACGTGAGCTTAATTAATAAGCTTCCTTCTCTGAAAGTCATCTTCTTCTCCCGACTTTCATGAACAAAAGAAGAAGAATCCAACTTCTTCTGTTCAGATTCGCATGTTGAAATTATCTGGACAAAATCAAACCTATTAATGAGCTGATCTGAAGAAATTACTCTCGAATTTAATCGTCCTGATTGTCGATTTCTGTCCTAGGGTTTCAAAATCCGGTAAGTAAGATTTGTTCTTGCTCTTCTTGCCTCATTTTCCTATCTCTCTTTGATTTTCTCTGAATTTCATGCTTTTTTTACAGCAGATTCTCGAAACCCTAATCGTGCGAGGTATTTATTATTATTTCTTGATCCCACATTTGTTTCTGTACCTCAGACTTAAATTTCAATAGCTTTAGGTTTACTTGTGACCAAAATACAGTGAAGCGATGGAGACAGAGATGGAGTTCTCTGACGGTGAACAAACTAATGCTTATGCACATGTTACCGCCTCCCAATACTTTGCTTCTCCGGTTTATAATAGAAGTCTTGTGGCTGCTTATGGAAACTCCGCCGTTGGATTAGAAAAAGGGATAGAAACGATACAGGATCATCAGGAGAACCTACCTGGTTATATCTTTATGTGTAATGGGAGAACCAAAACCGATTGCTACCGCTACCGCGTTTTCGGGATTCCAAGAGGAAGAAAAGACGTTGTTGAGAGTATAAAACCAGGCATGAAGCTTTTCCTCTATGACTTTGAGAAGAGACTTCTTTATGGTGTGTATGAAGCTACTGGTGGTGGCAGGTTGGATATAGAACCTGAAGCTTTTGATAAGAAATATCCAGCTCAGGTAATCCTGTGAACTACAGATGATTTTGTTTGTATGGCACTGGATAAATCCTCAACTGAAGATTGTTCTTTTCTCTTTTATCTTACTTGATTTTGGCAGGTTGGATTTAGAATTGTCATGAACTGTCTTCCCTTGCCAGAAAACATTTTTAAGTCTGCTATCTATGAAAATTACAAAGGTTCCAAATTTAAGCAAGAACTTTCTCCTCACCAAGTAATACACTTTTTCTTGCTATTTACAACACAGCTTTTAAAGTTCCAGGCTTACCTGCTTGGCTTTCAAGTGTAATTTACGATATGCTAAACAAAATTGTTCATGGATTGCAGGTTATGTCTCTGTTATCATTGTTTCGTCCATTTACTGCTCCAGAACTCGATTTGTTGCCTAATAGGTTGGCTTACAGAGCTTCAGCACCTAGGACTCTATCTTTTGAGGAAAGGTTCATAGCGGCTACACAAGTTAGAAATGCTTCATCGGTTTTAGATCCTCTGTCTGCTCGTCATGCAGAACCACGACTTAGCTCTCTTATGGCCCATCAGTCTGTTCCCCGCACATCTCTGCTCCAACATAGTTGCTCTAGACAAGACGACTACACAACCCCACCTAGAGAAAGTCTGTCAAATTTGAATCAGCCTTATTATCCTACAGAAGCTCGGCAGCAACGGTTGCTCGGAGACCCGTCTCGGTCAGATCCTCCTCGGTCAGAACCTCCGCGGTCATCTATACAGGACCCACAACTCAAATACCTAACCATTTTATCTAATATTCGGAGGTAACTTTGGTTGTAGGTTTTTATGGTATTCCTTAATCAGTATCTTAATTGATTTAGCATCCTTTTTCAGTTCCAACTTGAACTCTTATCTTCCCCCAAATATGTCGATCATAGCTCATTGAAGACATGATATTTGTAGCCGTCAGATGTTTAAAAGCATAGCTAAACCTGAGAACTCTACTAGATTCCTCCACTCTGCAAATGTTTACATTGTTCCTATTTTCTGGCTTTGCAGTTACTTATATGTGAATGTGTAATCATAGGGCTTGGTTTTTTTGCTATGACAGATATGGATCTGCCTCAGATCGCTTGGCCTCAGAAAATGAATATTATCCGGCAACACCATCAGAGAAGGACCAGTTTGCTTCACCTTATTCCGATAATAAATATTACCCTTCGACATTATCTGCGAATGAGCATCCTTCTGCTTCTGCAGCTAATGGGAGTGTGTATAGAAGTGAGTTCTATACTTCAGCATCACAAAAAGAAGGGGAAGCTAGTGAGCAGCATGAGATCCCTTCTGGGACTTACAATCATCCAGAAGCATCTACAGTTTCATATACTACAGTGTCCATCCAACCAGATATGCAGGCAGTTAGTGTTGCTCAATCTCATACCAAGACAGCTGGCTATCCTACACCGGCACATGGTGAAGCTTCACAACCACCTGCTGGAGCAATTGGTTACACACACCAACCTCAAACTGTAGCGGGTAATTATAGCACGAATTCACAGCCTGGGAATGTGGAAGAAAGTACACAATCATATGCTGGAACAGATAGTTACTCACAACAGCAATATTATGCAGCTATGGGGCATACTACTCAACTCTATGCTGGTGGAACCGGATATATTCAAAAACCCCATGAAATTGGGTACGCTCAGCAACCCCATGCTGCAGCAACCGGGTACTCTCAGCAACCTCATGCTGCAGCAACCGGGTACTCCCAGGTACCCTATGCTGCAGCAACCGGGTACTCCCAGGTACCCTATGCTGCAGCAACCGGGTACTCCCAGCAACCCTATGCTGCAGCAACCGGGTACTCTCAGCAACCCTATGCTGCAGCGACCGGGTACTCTCAGCAACCCCATGCTGCCACAGCCGGGTATTCTCAGCAACCCCATTCTGCAGCGACTGCGCACGCTCAGCAATCCCATGCTGCAGCGACTGCGCACGCTCAGCAATCCCATGCTGCAGCGACCGCGCACGCTCAGCAACCTCCTTCTGCAGCGACCGCGCACGCTCAATACACAACACAACCACATGCTCAAGCTGTTGAATACACAATGCAACCACATGCTCAAGCTGTTGGTTACATGCCGCAATACCATGCTCAAACTGTTGTATACAGTCAACAAGGTGTAACGCAAGGTTCTGTACCAGGGACTCCTGGGACTGCTGATTGGAATGCTGCAAACCAGGCATATTCTGCAACAGGAGACTGGAATGTGGTGAATCAGTCTTATTACCCTCACACAGCAGATGCAACCACAACCTATTATCAAACATCTTGAAACGTGAAAGCAAAGTGTTACTAATCTGGTATGCCAAAGAGGACTCTGTTAACTCTAGTGTACATAAAGAATTTTCAAACTCAATTGAGGAGCATTGTTTCGGTTCAGTTGAGAAACAGTTTGATGAAAACCTCTTTGCATTGGCATTGCAGGATCTGAGCAACTTGTGTGTGGTGGGGAAAAGCATGGACTCAAACTGATGCGCTCACTGGACAATAAGGTCAAGGACATAAAGGCTAGAGTCTCCAGCTCCGTTTACTGTAAGTTTAAAAGTTCTACGTTATGGTTTGATCATATTCATGAGGAAATTCCTCAAAACATCAAAATTTCTCTAAGTCCCGCTTCAGGAGTGCAATCTGAAATGCAATTCTGATTGGGATTTAAACTTAATAATACATATTATAACTCTGTTATCATTACTTATCCTAAAACATTTCTTGTAGTATGTTCATGTTTAATACTTGGGATTTGCTATTACGAATACTACCTTCAAAGGTGAAAGCTTCACCTTAAACACACGATTCGACAAAACCACTCTCTCAAATGCAACATAGGGACCAAGATTAATTGGCCTAAACCCTAAGCCCTATGTATTGGTAGGAAAAAAAAAAAAAAGACTTTGCTTTGGTTTTGAGTTTTCTCTTGGGGTCCTAAGTCTCCCACTATATATGTTTGAGAACTTGCACTGAAATTCACATATTCTTTCAAAAAAAGCTTTTTTTTCCTATTCCTTTTTCTCCATTTTTTAAAAAGATTTTAAAACACACCTCTCTCACTCTTTCCACCAATTGTATAGTACCTTTGTTTGCTACTTAGTCTCTGGTCCTGCCCTCTGGTATCTTTTTTTTGGGTCAATGGTCCCGTCTGTTTACAGCTTTGTGGGTTGTGGTTGTTGAGTCACAGTTCATCAAAAAGAAAAAAACTGAAATTGGGAAAAAAACATAATCAGATCCACCTTTCTGACTTGTCTTGATATAACGTTGGCTTTTTTCGCTAAATGTCTATAATATATGTCAATAATTTCTAAACATATATCTTAACCACTTTTTGAAAGTTATATTCCCCATCTATCATTATTTTCTGATATAATCTGTGGGATTTGTCTACATCATTTCTGAGTTGTGTGAACCTTACGACTTGTGTGTTAAAGATAAATAAAGTATGGTCTCCATGGTAATAAACTAATAATTATGTATGTGTAAATGTTCTTACGTGAAAGTGCCTCACTATTTCCTATTGCTCACTTTATGTGCCCATAGCAACAACTTGTACTCGTCTGAAAATTTCTCAAATTTCATGTGAATAAAAAAAATATCTATTACAATTCTTCGCCAAAAGTATCACAGATCCAGTTGGGAAAAAGAATTATAGATACTACTACTACTAGTGCATTGCAAATAAAATTATTGAGCAAAATTATTAAGACAAAACTGATTGTCATAAATTATTACAGACAATATGTGACGGATTGAGATAAACAATTATAATAATCGATAACAATATTCTAATGCTAAGCTGGAAGATTATATGATGTCATAGAAGCTAATTGCTCGAATTAAATTAATAATTTTTGGACTGAGATTAATCTCTGTTGTACATAGAAAATCCAGTTGACCAACACGTCGTTTACTAAAGCTAATAATAATACAAAAAGGGAATTTCCCAGAAAATAGCATAACATCTCTTGGATATTTCATGTAAAAAAATCGTTGTTTTAATTAAATGTGAACAAAACAACTAGTATAAAAAGGGAACAAGAGCGAGTCAATTAAAAAAAAAAAAGAAAAGGTCGACTTAGACAAGTGGGTCCCATTTACTGCTCTTCCAGATTATCGTTTTTTTTTTTCTGAATCTTCTTCCGAAATTCCTCAAAAAAATGTTTGTCTGTGTTGTTCGATCCAGGTGCTGCTTTTGAATCCACAGTTTTACTTTTTGGGAAATCAAAGAGAATTATCTATGGGGAATTGCTGCTCCGATGTCTCTTCCGGTGCTGGTGCTACAGCCGGCGTTGGTGGAACTGCTTCCTCCGCCGCTCTCGGCGCGACTAACGACGCCGTTGATTACTATCTCAAGTCGAAAGGTTTCAACGGACTCTTCTCTCAGATCGAGGTTCCGTCTCCATCATTTCTCTTTCGTTAATTTCGTCGTCCGCGAGCTGTTTCTGAGTGTTTATGTTTTGTTTTCGCAGCTATCGTTTTCAGCTTCGAATTTACGAGACAGGGACGTGCTCTCCAAGGTTTGTTGTTATTCAAAATTGTTCATAGCTAGTCATTTGATATCCTCTTGTTAATGACGATCTTTTTTTTTTTCCGCAGAGTGATCCTATGGTTGTTGTATATCAAAAGGAAAAAGATGCAACACTTTCAGAAGTTTTCCGCAGCGAAGTTGTTTTGAACTCTTTAGCTCCGAAATGGATTAAGAAATTTACAGTCGCTTATCATTTTGAGACTGTGCAGACGTTGGTGTAAGTTTCTAAATCTTTTATGCGACTTAAGGAAAGAGATGAACCTTTACCTGAAATGTATATGACTCTTTGTTTTGGTTGTTTTATACTCAGGTTTCGTGTGTATGATGTTGACACCAAATTTCAAAATTCAAGAGAGGAGGTAATTGCTAATAGACTGCCTGCATTTTCATTTTATCTGATGGTCACTTTTATCCAAATGTCAATACCCATATGCTTGTGGCTCAACATGCACTGTTCCAGCTTGATTCAGGAAAAAGAATGGTTGAATAGTTGTCATGCACTGCCTACTTTTGTAAAACGTGTAATATGTAGTGTACTTACTACTGAAGATTGACTTTTCAGATGCTTAAGCTTGACGAACAGCAGTTTCTCGGTGAGGCAACATGTGCATTGTCTGAGGTATCTTTTTTGGCATTACATACAATATATGTGCACTTGTTTTTGCTGGTTCTCTGAGAGGCAGAGTAGAAATTGATTTTATTGCCTAGCAGAGAGAGAGATAGAGAATGGCTTTATATTTTACTTTTCAACCACGCAGATAATCACAAAATCAACTAGGACGAGCACATTAGAACTCAAGCGCAAAGAAGGCTTTGCTCCACAGGCTCAGCCTCACCACGGAAAGCTTATCATCCATGCTGAGGAGTCCCTTGCTTCTAAGATTTCAACAGAGATAGTATTTAGATGTTCGAGTTTGGAATCTAAGGATCTTTTCTCAAAAAGTGTAAGTTTTGTTATTTATCCTCTTTACCATTTTACCAAAATTCTAGTTCTGACATAAATATAACACGTTTTTTTGTTGTTGTGGCTCTTCTTTAGGACCCCTTTTTGGTGGTATCAAAGATTGTAGAGCATGGAACTCCAATTCCCGTGTCTAAAACTGAAGTTCGGAAAAATGATCATAACCCTATTTGGAAACCAGTCTTTCTTAGTGTTCAACAAGTGGGAAGTAAGGTACGGGAGATTTCGTATATGTGAGCTTCCAATAATATGTAACTGAATGAATTGAAAGTCTGTTTCTCTCGAAATGCATGTTGATTCTTAGAAAAATCTACAATCATGCAGAACAGTCCACTGTTAATAGAATGCTCAGACTTTAACTCCAATGGCAAACACAGTTTGATCGGGTAACGAAAATCTTAGAGCTCTGTCCATCTCATTTTTGGAGTGACTTAAGCTGTAAGCTGACATAATTATTCATTTATTTTGGGTGGCCAGGAAAGTTCAGAAATCACTTTCTGACTTAGAAAAACTTCATTTGGCTGGCCAAGGATTCAATTTATCTTTGCCTACTGGTGCTGGACAAAACAAGGTATAACCGATACGAAAAGGTCTCCTAACATTTTCATGCATTTTTCATATGAGCGTTCTTATACCATTTATGGTCATTTTAGGTGTTAAAGAGCCAGCTTTTTGTGGACAAGTTTACCGAGACTGTCCAGCACACATTCCTAGAGTACTTGGCATCTGGGTTTGAATTAAATTTCATGGTAGCAATCGATTTCACAGGTATGTATTGCACCACTGTTGGAAATTCTAAAAACTTTCGATTATATATGTAATGTTGTTGTTACCTATACATCATGCACAAAGAATTTAATCTAAACATTTCTACATTTCTATTGTCCTTCAGCTTCAAATGGAAATCCCCGCCTCCCTGATTCTTTGCACTACATCGATCCTTCAGGACGACTAAATGCCTACCAGAGAGTGAGGACTCAGTGTAATTCCACGTTCTTATATTTAGCAGCGACTGTGACTAAACAAACCATCATGATCTCTTCTTTTAACTCAGGCAATAGTGGATGTTGGAGAAGTGTTGCAGTTTTATGACTCAGACAAACGTTTTCCTGCCTGGGGATTTGGAGCTCGTCCAATCGACGCTCCAGTTTCACATTGCTTTAACCTAAATGGAAGCAATTCATACTCTGAGGTAAACAAACACGACCCGCAGACCTTTAAAACTAAAATTTTGATGTTTTTGGATCGACACATCGTAAGTATATATATTTTTTTTTCTCTCCCACAGGTGGATGGGATTCAAGGTATCATGACTTCATACACCAGTGCCCTCTTCAACGTCTCTCTTGCAGGGCCTACCCTTTTTGGTCCAGTGATCAACTCTGCTGCAATGATCGCCAGCGCATCTCTAGCTCAAGGTTCACGGAAATATTACGTCTTACTGATCATAACAGTGAGTATATTTATAATAATAAGAAAGGCAACATCGCATAAAATAACAAATCAAACATTGTTAATATACAAACTACAATCTCTTGTTTCAGGATGGTGTTATAACAGATCTTCAAGAAACAAAAGACGCATTAGTCAGTGCATCGGATTTACCGTTATCAATCCTCATTGTAGGAGTTGGAGGAGCTGATTTTAAAGAGATGGAGGTAACAAAAGAAAGACATTTAAGATTCGTACAACTACATATGATCTTGTGTAACCTGTACATTTTTGTTTTGGTGGGGGTTTTTAGATACTAGACGCAGATAGAGGAGAAAGATTGGAGAGCTCCAGCGGGCGATTGGCTTCACGAGATATTGTTCAGTTCGTGGCACTACGAGATGTCCAACGTGAGTTTTGTTTGATTCTTGAGTTTAGCTTTAGGGAAACGAATGAGAACGTTAGTTCTTGGTTTGGTGGGTATTAATGTGTTGTGTTGTGCAGATGGAGAGATCTCAGTGGTTCAAGCGCTTCTAGCAGAATTGCCTTCGCAGTTTTTGACGTATATGAGGATCCGTAATATGAAGCCGATTCCTCCATGAATGATATCGTCTCGTGTGTAAATGAAGTGTGTCGACCATTACGACGGTTAAAAATTGCTGTCGTATTACGCGATTACATAAGCTTTTTCCATTTTTTATAATAATTGTCTGAATGTGGGATGTACTGTATAAAGTTTCGAATGAAGAGACTGATGTAACATTTGTCTTTGATATTACTTCAATACTTGGAATTGGAAGATATCTGTTTTGTGCAGCTCAATTTCTTTTATTGCAAGAGAATAGTGAACGTCCAGAAGAAAAAAATAACATTCAAGTTACAGATAAATATTGTTTCACTGTTATATCAATTTTGTAAGAGAACGGTATATTCGTTTTTAAACCAAATAACAAAAGAATTTCCAAAAAAAAACATGTGTAGATTAATTTTTCTAATAGATGTTAATTATATTTTAAACATGTGTATCATATACATTAAAATCGTTTTTAAAAAATCGTAACATATAAATAAAATTATTTTATCAAAATGTTAAAAACGTGAACACATGGTATTAAATTTTCCGTCAAATTATTGCTTCTGTTTCACAAAGAGTGTCATTCTATCATTTTTCACACAAATTAAGAAAAGTAAACAAATTTCATTTCTACCCCTCATTAATACAATAAACAATACCCTCTCTCTAATTAATAAGCTAAAATAATGAGGATAAAAAGGAGAATGAGTCTTTAAAAACTGAATTGAAAACACAACACGACACTCTTTGTAAAACGAGATTAAAACCTTAAAACGACACTCTTTGTGAAACGGAAGGAGTAGTTAGGTTAGGTATGACATGGTGATCTAAGATTTAGAGGGGGTGGAGAAAGTGAAGAAGACCACATTTAACAGTGAACCTATAATTTAAGGAAATTTGTTCATGAACATAAATAAAGTACCGCCGGTTAGGGAAATGGTAGTTGAACCTAACACCAACGCAGTACACACTAGACACACACATGATCGATCTAGTAAGTCAAAGTGGCTGTGGATTACATTTACAAGTCTTACATTATTATATCCACTTAGCTTGTTTACACACTTGTACATATAAGTTCTTTACCTGTCAACTTATAGTTAGCTCTTGACTTTTTGGGTCAAGACTTTTTCAAATATCAAACTTTTTAGATTAAAAAAAAAAAAAAACATTCAAATTTAGATAGGCAATAGCTCCACTGAGTAAAAATTAAATACCTCCTTTCGAAACTAGAAACGTGTACACAACTCTTACACTAGCTAGCAATCTAAACAATGTCTACATCCATTTAATCAGTTTCATCATACGATACAAATCATACAATAGTTAAGTACTATATACTGTGCTAATTACTATGTCTACAATATATAATTTTAATCGAGTGTCCACAGTCCACATCTTTACGATAATGTCTTCGGAAACAATCAAAGAGACTTTCAAAAAAACTTCATTTACTTATGAATTCTCATTTTCTAATATATACATGCATATATTTTATCATAATCATCACTTTGTTTAAATCAATTTGAGTGTGTACACAGTTCTTGGATTTAGAGGTTTTAAACCTTCTTTCGTGTTGCAAATTTTAGTCCACGAGTCATTTAAAAAATAGGTTCACTTCTCACGTACGCAAACTCATATGTTCTTTTTTAATTCACTTTCGACACAACAAGGGTGTCGGTTTATTATATTCTAGACATTTCTAATCGCTATCTTCTTGGTGAAGGATGCCGATTTTTGACGAAAAAAACAATGTGTCGGTTTATGTTACATTTACATCTAATTAAGAACACGATAGTGCTTATATAGTTTAAATTATTACTTAAGAAAAACACTATTACTCTATATCTTTCCCTCGATTCCATGAATGTGTTAAACCTTTTTCACAAAAAATAAATGATTAAACAAAACATGAACATGCATGCGCAATTTTCCCCTCTTCTTTATTATTCTTTTCACTTTTGCATGTTTCGTTTTCCCATCTCGTGTAGTATTTTTATAGTAATCTTTATAAAATATCCCCTCTTTTGATATTTAAATACACATGCACTTTCCTCATTAAGAAAAGTTTAACAAACATTCTCATGTAATACATGTCTTCATTTTAAGGCCCCAAAACATTGATCCGTACTGATCGTACGTACAAACATATTTTAAAAATACAATAACCAACACACAAAAACAACAGAATATGCAAAGACAAAAAAAGAAAGAAAAAAAAACTTAAAAACGTATATTAATTTAGGTCATATGTTCACACGTAGAAAGACTTCTCTATAAAAGCCTCAGAATTTTGCAAAACCCAAAAAAAAAAAAAAAACTTTACTCTCTCTTTCTTCATTTACTTCAATCTAATTTCTTCTCCTTATCGTCTTCGTTCTTGATGTTCAAAGATGACATAAAGAAAAACTGACCAACCCTAAACTGTAGTAAATCCTATATCGGATTTTTATCTTTTGGAAAGAAAAAAGGTTCTTTTTAATAGAAAATCTAGCAAAAGAGTGGATCCTCGAATGTATGGGAAGGGGCCTTTTGGAGGCGATGAATCTGAGGAAAAAGAAGAAGATGAGAACCTTTTCCCGGTCTTCTCCGCCCGATCTCAACACGACATGCGTGTTATGGTCTCGGCCTTGACTCAAGTAATCGGAAGCAACTCTCATGACAACATGAGCTCTATTGATAATTATCCTTCTGTGTATAATCCACAAGACCCTAATCAACAAGTTGCTCCTACTCATCAAGACCAAGGTAATATACATGAGCATGTCTATGTTGCGTCTTTTTTTGGTTGAAACTATGTTAAGATATATAGAAATTGTGTGAAAATTTCATATCAGAAGTAAATCTCAAACTTAAATTGACGGTTGTTATTATGCTATGTTTGTTTCATTAATACTCATTTACCAAAAACAACGGTTATTATGCTATTACCAAATGTCATTTTTAACATGGAGATTCTGTTGGTAGTATATGTGTATGGTTTAATTAGTCAGCACCAATATATGTGATGATATACACATGCACTATGAGCATATACAAATTAAGTTTTACATACTATGCAATTATGCATATATGTATGATGACCATACTACACCAAAATTTTATTGATTTTAATTTTTGTGATTTCAATTAAGGGAACTTGAGGAGGAGACACTATAGAGGTGTAAGGCAAAGGCCATGGGGAAAGTGGGCAGCTGAAATCCGAGATCCACAAAAGGCGGCACGAGTGTGGCTCGGGACGTTTGAAACCGCTGAATCCGCAGCCTTAGCTTATGATGAAGCAGCTCTTAAGTTCAAAGGAAGCAAAGCAAAACTCAATTTTCCCGAGAGGGTTCAGCTTGGAAGTAACTCTACATATTATGTCTCCAACCAAATTCCACAAATCGAGCCACAAAATATACCAAACTATAATCAATATTATCAAGATGGGAGTAGTAATGATATGCTAAGTTTTAATTTGGGCGGTGGATATGGTAGTGGTAGTGGATATTCAATGTCCCATGATCATAGTACTACTACTGCTGCTACAGCTTCCTCGTCTTCTGGTGGCTCTTCTAGGCAACATGAAGATCAAGATTATGCCAGATTTTGGCGCTTTGGGGATTCATCTTCCTCTCCTCATTCGGGTTTTTGAGATTTGATAAGCTACTTGTGATGAAGTAATGATATATGCTGTTTTTTGAATGTTTTTGATGAGTGTTATTTTTTGTCCTCCGTTAAGATTTTTCTGAAACGTTTTTTCTTGTTTTTTTTCTTACCTCCAATATATTTATTTGGTCATGACAACATAATCTCACCGATTCGAACCTCAACGCACGATAAATTATACATATTACGTGTGCATAATATTAGCTACTTTAATGTACAAATACAAACATAAGGGCCAATTATGGTGCGATTGAATATCATAGACAAAAAAAACTGTGTCGCTCGCTGTTAACGTTTGAGTTTGACCAAGCTTAAACTCAATGCTAATGATCATATGTTCATATCAAATATTACGTTGACTTTTAAAAAGTCATTCTAAATCAGCATTAATGAATAATGATAGTGTGTGCATGTGAAACACAAAATTCGGCCGTCGACATGTGCACTTGATAGACCTCCAACTTCAAAATTAAAATATAAAATGGCTTCCTCGTTAATTTTTTATTAGGTTGTGTAATTTGTACGATGATCCAAAACGGCAAAACCCCTAATATTCGCGTTCGGAGCGTATAATAGACACCGCCGCAAACTTTGCTAAGCAATCTCAAACCCACTTGGGAGTCTTGGACTTGGACTTCAAAGTCTTTTCACCACTTGGTTTAGTAGCTAGTGCAACTCTATCAGTTTAGTTGACTATCAGATAAAAATATTAAGTATTCCACAAAATACAAAGTGTATTTGAATCTCTTGACTTTATTTTTTTTTGGCAAACGAATATCGCACCGAACTGTATACTTCATCATCAAGTCGTGCAATGCAGCTATGAAGAAGAATTTAACTAAAATAGTAGTGTAATTGTTTTAGGCTAGTAGGAACATGTTTTTCTTAATTGACGATTTTGTTGGTCAATATATTTTGGTAATTAAAATGAAATAGACATATTTTTCAGTTTCAGATAATTCAACTCGACAGACTAGAATTCAACGAGTTTACCTAAGACCTAGAAATGTCAATATTATTAAACAAAAATATCAAGACTTTATCAACGGCCGGTGAGTCGGTTACTGGCCACCTCCGGCCATCACCGACCTTGTCTCATGTCAACTTTTGCGGCTATCTCCACACAATTTCAAACTTGTCGTCTAAAACTAAAACTTGTATCAAAAGATATGTTCCTGATCTGCTCCTAAAGTTTCATTGCTTATTCATACGCTTCTTGTTGAATTCTTCTGGTATGCAGCCTCTAAGCATTCCTTAGCTCTATGGACCTTTGATTGGAGATAAAAGCTTCCGTTCTGCGCATTGCGTTGGAACAATGTGTCGTATTTCTGCAAACATAACATACAATCTTAATAAGAAAAAAGGGTCCTTTTTCAATCAGCAGTAGAAACTATAAACCGCTATTCGGTGTGAAAGTGTGAAGACAAACCTTAATAACCTCGTCCCAAGATGATTTCTCAGTTACACCAAGAATCTGTCTAGCTTCTGGTTCACTTATTATCAACCCTCTCTTAATCTTCTGCGCTGCTTCATGCACAACCCCGGTTTTAGATGCATCTGTAACCATTCCAAACAATGTTTATCAACAATTTTGCAAAGTAACTTACACTTTACTATTTAACAAACACAAAAAAAAAAAAAAACGATTCTTTGATAGATTCATTATTGCCCAGAAACTTTGATAAAGTCATTCTTGCCCAGAAACAAAACAAGAGCATTGTAATAAAAAGACATACTTGCAAGCGCCTGACGATATGCCTGAGTACAAGCCCTGGCTATGATTCCAGAGGTCATCACAAACAAACTTGCCAAAACTCTTGCAGCCTGCACACAATTATTCCATAAATTTCAATAAAACGTTAATCAAATCAGTGAGAATAATTTCTTGCAGCCTGCACACAAATTTAAGAAATTGCTGAAAGATACACTAAAATAAAAAAGAAATTTCCCTATGCATTCAAACAAAAACCAGCTCAACTTTAGGATCTCCATAAGTAATCAAAGGTCACGGAGATGCCACAGCTGTCAATATTTTCGTGTGGACTTTTTGAAACCAAAGAAACAATCGGTCGGGAAACTACACATACCATCGTCAGAGAATAATCAGACCGAAAATGGAGACTTCGACAGACGTAATACCTGAAATGTAAGCAAGGTTTAAGATTTCTCATAACAGAATGCAGAAAAAAAAAAACACAACGTTGGATTAGAAACAGAGACAAGTCGAGTGTAAGGGTGATAATCAACTTGAGAACCTTACCAGGAGAACAAGAGACGGTAATACGTCTATGTTTAATGTATCGGAATCGAGGAACTAGGGGTTCGACGACCACGGTGAACCACACAGTTCTGCGTTCTATGGCGGAGGCGGAGGCGGAGGGAGAAACTCGGAGTTTCAGGTGATATCCTCATTAAGAACCCTAACCGACTTCGGAACGTAGTTTGGGCCTACATGTAAACTTTAGGCCCACTACTTTAAAAACCTGGATATTTAAGTACAACCCCCAAATGTTTCAAGAAATTCTATTTTGGCCCCAATATTTATTATTTGAAGATTTAATGGTGCTTTGATAATCTCAACTTTTCATTCAAACACTTCTACAAAGTATAGTTTGATACAAAGTATATGGTACTGCTCTGACATAACAGATTAGATGGTTCAGTCGATGCAATGTAATTAGAAATATAATGTATATATGTATCATTGTGTTTATTAGATGTTAAGTTGGTTAATCAAACAAAGTCGGTTAACAAATCCTTGTGACTATACCGCAATAGAAGTTAAGTTGGTTAATCAAATTCACATTACTGTATAGTCACCAGGATTTGCTAGGGTCCATAGTTACATAAAACAAAGTCGTTCTTGTTGAACCACCAGTACTTGATCTTCTCAAGAAATACCAAGAGTCATTAAAGTGTAACTAATGGCAAGATAAAAGAGTACTTTTTAAGGTGCTTTCGTAATAAAGAAGCTATTGGATCTCATTGTTTTTTCAGAGCATAGTGAAGATAGATTCTGATGCAATGACTGAGACTTGTGCTTACTTTACTTATCTCCAGGTTACTGTTCTAGCAGAAGGTGACAAACCAAGTGGGATCAAAGCATCAGGACGTGCGGTTTGAGAACTTAACAGTGCTTGGCTCCTAGTCCTTCGGCGATTGTACACCAATGTCTTCTGCTTTGTGTCAGATTGTCTGATGAGTTCTTTAGGTCCCATTGGACTCTCTGGCTCTTGTTGCTTTCTCCTTTTGCTCAGTAGTTCCCAAAGTAGTTTCTCTTCGTGTTCTCGGCTTCCCTCTGTGCCTATACGCTGCATGGACAAAAGGATGAAAAAAAAAAAAACATTTAGTCTTTAGTTAATCATTTGAGCTTTCACAAACAAAACTCATTATCCAAATTATACCTTGCCAGTAATAGAATGTTCAGCTTGTTTCTTCTTCTGACTCGCGGGTAGAAGAAATTTGGCAGATGTTGTCATTCTCTGAACTTGATCTTCAGCTTTTTTCAGCTTTGATAAAGCGTTGATCTTTGTCTCTTCTGCGAGTCTAATCCTTTCTCTAGCATCTTGCAGCTCTCTCCTTGTATCTGAGTTTGCTCTCTCCATCTCATTCACTACATTCATCAGTTGCACACAAGGGCCATGCTTTATTTCAGCTGCCAAGTTGCCTACGTACTTGGTCATCGGGTGACACATATTCATTGCTAAAGCCTGCATAAGATCATTAACACCACTATCTACTGAACCGAGCATTTCGTTGATGTTATTAAATAGGACGCGAAGGAGCTTCACTGTGACAGGGAAAGTGTCATGGTTTTTGCTGTGGACCGAGCTTAGGTAGTAAAGAGATTTCTGGATGAATTCTTGGAAGAAGGTTCTACGATCGTCAACCATCTGCAGAATGTCTTCCCGATGTGAATTCACCTGTGTTTCAATGTGCTTAAGCATATGAACTAGCTGTCTCAGCTGCCCCTTATGCTTGTGCAAGATCTCTTTTCCCGCTGATTCGGCTTTAGCAGCATAATTTTCTACCTACAAAATCATGATACTGCAAATGAACTTCTGCGGAACAAATCCACTCGAGGTAGACAGAATATATATTTAACTGCAAGTTCAAAACCCACATGAAGGTAGAAATGGTTTTTCAAACAGCTTGTGATGTATTTGATTAAATTTGAAACAGAAAGTGTAGAGAAGACAGCATCTAAACAATCCTTATGAGTGTTTCTCGTTCAATCTATAGCAGAAATTGGCAAACATTAACAAGGAACCACCAGAATGAAACTTGACTAGGCACATTACAGTTTCCTCATCATATTTATTAGTTTTGCATTCACTCTATACCAGAACTAGGCATACATATATAAGAAATCACTAAACTAAAACTTGACTAGACAGATACACTTTCAGGATCACATGGTTTGGTTTTACATTCAATAGCTAGTAAAATGAGGCATACTAAATAAGCAATCACCAAAGTAAAGCTTGACAAGACACGTTACAATTTCAGAATCATATTGCTTATTCGCATCACATCTATAGTAGAACTAGGAATACATATGTACAGAATCATCAGAATGACCCTTGCCTAGACACATTACAGTTACAGAATCATATCAATTGGTTCACGTTCAATCTATATCAAAACTAGGCATACATATGTATACTAATAATACTACCTTTGAACTGCGAATTTGATTGTTCAGATCACCAGTCCGTACTCCATTTTGGGCAGTATCCATATGATATCGTTCCTGGTAAAAATAAAGTAAAGATCTGAAAATTGATGAAATTGCATGATCCTAGAAGAGATGATTGAATATAACTCACAGTATTGAAAATAAAGGTGGAGTGTCTCCCTTCACTCTCCATCTCCGACGTTTTCAGCCCAACCAGCTTCATCAAAGGGATCGCCAAAGAATCGAAAACTTCACCTGCCTTTAAATTACGAAAATCTCTATCAAATTCCTTGTAACAACCCAGAATTGTTCAAATCGAGCTTGAATCTACCAAAAACGAGAGAATCCGATAACCTCTCTCAAATTGGTTGCAACACTCAAGAATCATTTCCAATAAAGCTTGAATCTACGAAACTACCAATTTAAAGAGTACGATAACGTCTCTCAAATTCGTTGCAACACTCAGAATCGTTCAATCCAAGCTCGAATCTACCAAACCAGAAAATACGATTACCTCTCTCAAATTCGTATAACTAAGCTTAGATCTACTTCGAAATCGAATCTAGAAAACTAGAGAAGAGGATTTATCATTACTTCGACAAGGCCGAACGCGATCTGCGATTGGAGTTGATGGTACGCCATTTTCACTTTCTTGTTGCGATCGACCAGCGTCGCGAGCTTATCTCGGAGATCTGGCGCCGCCGCTGCTGCTGCAGCACTTTCCTCCGCCGTGTATTGCGCCGGAGGGGCCTGGAATCTCCGTGGATAAAACGCTCTTGGCGGGAACTCCATTGTAGGAGGATATCACACAAGTTGGAAGAGAAAGGATTCGAATTTCAAACAGTCGTTTCTCAATTCTCTCTTTTGTTTTCTTCGTTTGCAATCTCTGACACACAAGTTTATATATCCACGGCCCATCAACCGCCTGGCCCATTATTGATCAACAACTATTAACATTTTTTAATTCCGTAAAATGACCATAAAATTTTATTTATTTGCAACACACCCTAAAATGCTATTATTATAAATAACATGTTTTTTACAAAGTAACGCCATGTTTAAGGGATTTTTGTCACTAATGTCACTTTCTCAGAAAAAATAATCGTTTATGCCACTCTTATATTATATTTTATTTTTTATTTTTCTTTTAATATAAAATCTATAGTAAATGTCAGAAAATCCTTACCCTAATTCAGTATTTACGTACTCTTGTCATTGCCAACCTAACAACATAATTATTTTATCTTCTTCTCTTTCTATTTCATTTTCACGCTTCTCCTCCATCTCTTTCTCCTTCATCTTCTTCTTCTTCTTCTGCTTCTTCTTCTTCTAGAGTTTTCGAATCTTTAACCCTAGATCTCTTCTTCCTCTTCTGAATTTTTCGGATCTTTAACCCTAGATTTCTTCTTCTTCATCATTACCTTCAACGAAATCCTAGATCTCTTTTTTTTCCATGGATCTTTCTTCCATCTCTTCGATCTTCTTATTCTAGATCCATAGATCTTCGTTCTTCTCACATATCTGAGATTAACAACAATACCGATCTAGATTTCTCCAAAATCGGTTGTGTAGTGACGGAGAAGAATCGGCGGTGGAGGAGAATACGCGGTGGAAGAGAATCGGCGGTGGAGAATCGGCGGCAACGACAATGAACAAAGCAAGAATAAACGAATTAGTGAGTGTAACGGCGCTAGGGTTTAAAATTATAATTTTTAAAAATTCTACCATTTGTACCAGTTGTTCCTGTATTAGTTGTACTAGTTGTTCCTGTATCAGTTGTACCATTTGTATTCATTGTACTATTGATATATTTGTACCAGTTGTCCCTATTAATATGTTGGTTGTACCATTTGTATCAATTGTACTATTATATTTACCATTTGTACCAATTGTTCCTATTTATATATAGTTATACATATTTGTACCAATTGTACTATTATATTTCAGTTGTACCATTTGGACCAGTCATCTTACAATCTCTCATCTGTACCAGTCCTTGTTTGAAAAATCGCTAGGCGCTAGTCGGGCGCTCGGCATGGGCCTAGCGATTAATCGGAAAATCGGATTAAAATCGGGGATTAATCGGGGATTAGTTTTAGGGTTATTTTAATATTTTTAAAACATATTAATCCAATATTATTTTTAAAATTGCAGTAAACACATAAAAATGTATTTTTGAGACAAATATTTATGATTTTTATTAAAATATGAACATAAATTATTGTAAAACATTACAAACTCCCAATTCAAATGATTGAATAACAAAAATAAAAAGTTTTTTTATACTGGCAATCTAAAAATAATCGGGGTATGTAAGATTAAGCGGAGAATAATCGGATTAGGCGGGAAATAATCGGATTAGGCGGAGAGTAATCGGGTGACTGATTTCTTTAAGGGATTAGTCATTAATCGAGGCGGATAGGGTGGGCCTAGCGATTAAGCGGGGAGTAATCGGGTCTAGGCGGGGATTTTTAGAACAGGGGTACCAGTTGTATTATTATTTTTTAGTTGTACAAAGTTGTACCAAATTGTACTATTCCGTACCAATTCGCCCTAATTTCATTAAGGGTAATTTGGGGATATCACATTTATGGTGACACTCAGATTATAAGATGGCACGCCAGATTATTTTTTTTCAAATAGTGGCATATGTGGCTCGGACTCTTAAACTCTAAATAACATGTTATTTGCAGAAATATCACCCAGTTAAATCGTTTTCGTAACTAAAATATTGTTATGGTTATCACACCTAGTTAAGTTCCCAATATCATCAACCTAGATGACCATATGTTTTGATAGAACTTGAGGATCCTCATTTTATAAGGTTTTTGTCAAATTTTTCTGATCACACCCTCACATTTCTTTTGTTTTCTTTCTCGATGTCTATAACAAAATTAGCCACAACAAACTAAACGGTTGACAAATTATAAAAGAAAAAGAAATTAGCCAAAAAGACTAAATTAAGGACTACTAGTTAATTAGGATAACGACTAAATAAACCACAACAACCCAAACCAAACTAGAAACGCAAGTCGTCGCCGCCGCAACCACCACGGCCAGACGTAGACGATCCGGTACAGCTAATACCGCCAACCAAAGCCGCGGCCGCAGCCACGGCATTGTTCCGCTCCAAATGGCAAAGCTGACGCAGCTTAGTTGGAACGTACCAAATAGAGAGACGAGGATGAGCGTTAAAGACGGCGTCTATATCCCAGCCATGACGACAAGCAATGTTCACAAGTGGCTTGTAACAAGCCTGACGCCACGAGCCAACGTTCTCACCGCGTTCTTTAAACGCTCTTCGGAGAGCGTTTGAAGCGTCTTCGTCTAGGCAGTGGAGAGCGTAACAGTGGACGTAGTGTCGCATTTTGGGCTTGTTTATGTAACTCGCTCCCGATTTCTTCGCGTACCTGAACACTTGGTTCGTCACCTATTTACACATTAACAAAAACTTAATAAATAAAACAAAAAATTAATTAATTTTGGAGTACAGTAGAAAAAAAGTGACATATAAACCAAACAATTCTCGATAGTTTTTTTTTTGAAAAATATAATGTTACCACTGTTTATATACTTATAACAGGACAGAACTAAATTTATCAAAGTTGAATATTTTATCTATAATAAAGACCACAAAACAGAGTTATTAGGGACACAATAACAGTAACTAAAGATGATTAGTTATTATTTATTCATATTTGTTACCCAACCAAATCAAATACTAATTCAAGTGAAACCTAATACGTTTGGTTCTTTTTTCTTTTTGTCGAAAATAAGTTTGGTTCTAATTCGTAAACAATGATTCAAACAAAAAAAATGAATGTCCATCAAAAAGTATAACCGTAGTTGTAAGATAGTATCTATAATTTTCGTTAGACTAGACAACTAACTACACCAAAACGAAAATTAGACATAAAAACAACATTAAAAAAAAAAAAAAATTGGAACCAACAAATTTTGAAAGAAAACAATTAAATTAGATTTTCTTATTATTAGTAACGTGCGTCTGTACAAGCAATGGCACAGAGCTCATGGATTCTGTACTATCGTAACTAGAGGAAAGAAGACCCTCTATTATCCGCTGAGCAATAGACTGTATTTAGAAATAATATACATACAACAAATATCCCTATTAATTGTCAAAAAGTCTAATAATATCTATGTGTACTATCTGTGTGAATGCATGCAAAAATTTGTATATCGTATCTAACTATCTCATGTCGTTATAGCCAAAAACAAAGAAACAACTATGTCCATTCCCTAACTGGACACGTCGTCGTACGGTTTACTGTCAAAATTTAAATTGAAATCTAACTATATTTATGCTGAAGAAGACAGTATGAAAACAAAATGAAAAAATAATAGTAAATCAGAACCCTATAAATTATTGCCAGACATAGCAAAAAAACAAAAAAAAATTAAAAACCCTGAGAACTCGTGACTTGTCAAACTTGCTTTTATAACAGCTGTCCATGATTATAGCTATAGTTCCCCTACCATACACCATAAATTAGACATCATTTTTCAAAAAACTTTTATTCTAGATAATAGATATAAGTATTAAGTAAATGAATGGTCAGGATTAGATCTTGGAAGCTAAATCGAAAGATACCTTGGTGGGGCATTTTTCGCCACGGTCTTTAGCAATTGTCTGGACCTGAAGAAGGAACTCACGGCATTGTTCGTACAAGTGGAACAGATAATCTAAACCGTTCTTTTTGCCACGTGCCACTTCCCCAGGCTCCGTTACGATAAACGGGTGCTCCCTCTGTCTCTCTGTCCCCAATCCACCACCACCACCTCCGTTGCCGTTATCCATCCCGTCGTCATCATCACCTTCGTTGACGTCATCGTCGGTTTCCACTGACGTCACCATCGGTTTCTTTCTCCGTCTCTGCTGCTGTTGCTTCTTCATCTTTGCTTGACCTGCTTCCCAGTAACCACTTCCTCCTCCGCCGTTATTCCCAGCCGCATCTGTCTGGTTTTGCTGTTGCACCGGTTCCTCTGATAACCCTGTCCAATCATCTACATATAATTTGTCACAATCACAAAAATTTGTTTTAAGTTTATGCGTATACTCTTTGATTTCTCTGTACATGATATGAATCCTCGTACTTCTTGCACTAGGTCTATTAAATAAATATCAGACTATGACTGCATACGTACTCTATACACACTGTAGCTCTTTATCAATATCATACAATGATAAATATATATGAGATTTTTTTATCTAGATGTATGTGTATGGCATCAAAACAATTGTAATCTGTACAAAAGCTTAATCATAAAATTATGTTGCAGCTACTATACATATCTATATATCTTGGTAAGATTTTCATAAATTAATTATCTATTAGTCACGTGAACATATACATACTTTTTCTTGAAAGTCGGACATAGAAATGTAAAGATCAAAAAATATATACATATATATAAAACGTGGGATAATTCTATATGTATTCATTATTATTGTACCTTCTTGGGAGAGAGCATCAAGAGCGTGATGAGTACCGGAATCACCAGCGGCGGAGAGTAGCAAATGACGGCGTCTAGAAGATTCCTCCTCCTCCTCTTCTTGCAATCGTCTCCGTTCAGCTCTAACGGCAGCTTTGATACCGTACCGTTCACCAACAAGAAGCTCCCAACGAAAGATGTGAGAGAGACTATTCATCATCTCCTCAAGCTCCTCGTCCTTCATACCCACAAGCGTGCTCGCCGTAAAACCTAACTCCGCTATCTTCGCCGCCGTGTAAAAACGTATACCGTAAGCTCCGAACAGTCCCTCTAAACCACCAAGTCGCATCCCAAAAGCCGCCATCTGAGGTGTTGCCGGCTGTTGCTGCGGCGGAGGTGGAACCGGAGGTGGTGCTGCAACCATTGCTCTCGTTGGGTTCCATCGGAATAAGCCACTCGTGAAACCTTCAGGATCCATAGTCTTTTCTCTCTCTCTCTCTCTCTCTCTCTCTCTCTCTATCACTCTCTTTTTCTCCTTTTCTTTACTCTTTTGAGCAGATTGCTTTATTGTAAAAATGACCACTCGAGCAACTTCTATAAATACAACAGTAAAGAATCTAGAAAATAAATACTAGGTTTTTGTATATTCTTTTTTATATCGCTGTTTTTGCAATAAAGCATTTATGTAGATGTAATGTGATGTAAAGAAGATATGTGTCTTGCTAGGAAATTGACAGTTGGGACTTAACAAGTCAAACTTTTTTCTTTCATCGACATTCTTCTTCTCTACTCTGATTATGACCATTCGTAATTTGACACGTAGGAATATAAAATGATTAGGGTTTTCTCTGTGATGATCCTCTTTTTCTTTATATATATAATTACTGTGATGATCCTCTCTTTTTGATTTTTGTTCAAGCTGCTATTTGTTTTTAATTTTCATCCTCCGCATTTTTTTTTTGTCTCTTTGTAGTTTGCATCATGAGAGCACGATCAACCATTCCACCATTTGGTTAAATTCACTTAACCATCTAAAATACTCTTAAAAAAAAAATCTAAAAATACATCATACTTATGACAGAAATATTTGTTGTGTGATGTTATTGATAGATTGCTGATATCGTTTAACTATCTTAGAGTTTTAAGATACATGGCCAACCTACGTCTTTTTCAACCGAAAGTAATGTTTGTATCCTTTCCAATCCTCGTATAACTTACTTCTAAATATAATACGAACTAAAAGTTGGCAATATATTGGCTGTATTAATTATAATCTGTAAGTCATATAATACTATAGTAGTACGTAAAATACGTATTATGTATACCTTAACTGTATTGGCATGATACCACAATCTTTGCAGCAGCCTGATAAGTTACTAAAATAATATTACTCTGTGATTCATACTAAGAGAATCCATTATTCATGTATAGACATAGACTACGTATATCTATCTAAATAAGTTTTGGTAGTATAGTTAGGGGAAGATAAATTTTGTATGTATGATAAGAAATATCAGCACTCTAGTATATATAGCCAAAAGTTTTTCTTTTGCTATAAATTAACATAAGCTAATAAATGCAACCTTTCTTTACAATAAATGAAACCTTTATCTATCTGCGTTTTAGAAAACATCAATTGATAAATGCTGTGTGAGAAACTCCAGAAGGAGAGGAGGTCAGGTGTGTTTCAGTCTATCTAATACCACAAACATTGGGTCTAATCTCTTCAACTATCCCTTGCGTGTTGTCATCTCCCTGATTTGTAATTTACCCCTATGCCATAATACACATATAAATTTTTTAAGGGGTTAAGAAAATCAGAGAACCTTATCAATTTGATAAGTTACATTGCTATATAATCACCCATCTAAAACTAATTTTTTTGTAATGTCAAATTTACTAAATATTACAAAAATAACTTACAAATATAAGTGGGAAAAAAAAACAATGGTTATATTATTTGTATATTTATGAACTAAAAATACAAATTAAAGTGGGATTGGACTTGGGTTACTTAAACTTTGTCAATAAACAGTGAAAAGAAGAATGATGTGAAAATATATAAAAATTACATCGGAATTGAGCCGAAAAAAAACTTTAATGTTGGAAAGGTAGCCAATGAGGAAACGACAGGTCAAATCGAAGTCCTGAGAGACTGCCAATCTCAGTCTGTTTTATTTGACTGTCTCACTCCCTCAGTTTCCCCCTTACCTTTTCTTTGTCCTTTTTCTTGTCTTCTTTCTATTTTATTACTAATCTTTAATATTACAAGTTTGCAACATATAAGTTTATAATTATATATCATCATCTTCATCATTGCAAGTAGCGCGACTCGTACTACTACTCTTAATACTGTTCTCACCACTGTTATTGAACTGTTAGAGTTTTAGAATCCTGAAAAGACTGAATAATCTGTTCTAAAGCCCCCTATTACTACCCTATTTTCTCAAAATCAATTTCTTATTAAAGAAAAACAATACAAAAGTGACTCAATACAGCTATTTATTAGTGTTTCAAAATTTAGTATACCGGACAAACAAATGTATTAAAAAAAAAAACGAGAGTAATTAGGCATATTTTCTATTTTCTTTACCAAAAAGAAAATTAATTAGGCTGCCAAGAACGAAATTACACTTTGGGCCCATTATTTTAATGGGCTTAAAGTTTATATTTTCTCGGCCAGTCCATTACGTGGACTGTTCAAGTCCCCAACGACTTTCTCATGTGCGAAAATGGATCGCGCTAAAACGACATCGTATATGCCATACCATAGACGAATCTTCTTGTGCTCTCGTTGTCAATTCTGGGCGTGATCTAACAATCGGTAGCGAATTTAATTTCTTTTGTTCCAGTTTTGGAAGTCACAATCTCGACGAACTCTTTTTTTAGCAACTACTTCTTCTTCCGACGTTCCAGCTGTTCTAGTTGATCTTTATATACTTATATGATCTGGGGATTTTGAAGATTTTAGGGAGGGGAAGAAAAATGAAGTTATCGAGCTGGGTTTTGATCTTCCTTCTTTGTAATCTCACCTTCCTCTCGTCGATTTCTGCTTTCCGTCTGAGTCGGAGTCAACCAACGGAGCGAATTTCAGGTGATTTCTCTCTTATCAATCTATGGATTTAGTGAATGCTCAGTTTCCATAATTTTACTTGGATTAAGCAGCGCTTGGGATTCTCCGTAGTGATCTTGTTTAGTCATCAGCTAGTTTGAATGAGAAGACTAGGGGTTTCTTCTAATTGAATCTAGGGAAAATGTAAATCAGGATGCATATTCATGCCTCAATTAGCCAATTCGATACTATCTTGTTTTTGAGCTTCTACTTTGATTTTGTATCTCTCATGTTTAGGTAGTGCTGGTGATGTGTTGGAGGATAATCCCGTGGGAAGACTGAAAGTCTTTGTTTATGAGCTTCCAAGCAAATACAACAAGAAGATACTTCAGAAGGACCCGAGATGTCTCAACCACATGTTTGCTGCTGAGATATATATGCAACGCTTTCTTTTATCTAGCCCAGTTCGAACACTTAATCCCGAGGAAGCTGATTGGTTCTACGTCCCTGTGTATACCACTTGTGATCTCACGCCTAATGGGCTTCCTCTACCTTTTAAATCTCCACGGATGATGAGAAGTGCCATTCAGCTTATTGCTTCCAACTGGCCATACTGGAATCGCACTGAAGGAGCAGACCACTTCTTTGTCGTGCCTCATGACTTTGGAGCCTGTTTCCACTATCAAGTAAACAAAACAATCTTCTCTGACTCTCTTTTTCTTTCTATCCTAATTAGGCTTTGCTTGCTTCATCAATGCTTCTACGCTATTCTGAATGACTCTGTGCTACTATTGAACTTGCACTCTAAATTATTTCCAGTTCTTAAAAAGAAATAACTGTTTCATACAACTTTTTCTCTGAATTCCTAGTCATATCTACAAATTCAAATACATTTCTGTTTTTTTTTTTGAAAGATCCATCCTGATGCCTTGGGGTTGAGTTGTGCACACGTTTCATCATGTTTCCTTATAGTTCCTTCTGGACTGAACTAGGAACCAGTAGTCTTTAACTCTTGTTCGTGTTTGACTGTGGCAGGAAGAGAAGGCAATAGGAAGAGGAATACTACCCTTGCTTCAACGGGCTACTCTGGTGCAGACATTTGGACAGAGGAATCATGTTTGCTTGAAAGAGGGTTCAATCACTGTTCCTCCGTACGCTCCACCACAGAAGATGCAGTCACACTTGATTCCTGAGAAAACTCCCCGATCCATCTTCGTTTATTTCAGAGGATTGTTTTATGATGTGGGAAATGACCCTGAGGGTGGCTATTATGCGAGGTAACTATTTTCTTATTTGAAGCTATACTCCATAAGGATTTCACAAGTCTCTTAAAACGTTCATAATTGCCTTACTGATTTGGGATTTTGGATATAAAACTTAACAAAACAGTGAAGATTCATCAAACTGTTTTTACAACTACAAATGGTTCATATAATCAGTGATGATGTTTTGTTTGTCATATGGGCACAGGGGCGCACGAGCAGCTGTTTGGGAAAACTTCAAAGACAATCCACTGTTTGACATCTCAACAGAGCACCCAACAACATATTATGAGGACATGCAGAGAGCAATCTTCTGCTTATGCCCACTTGGATGGGCCCCATGGAGTCCAAGACTGGTGGAAGCAGTGATCTTCGGTTGCATCCCTGTGATCATAGCAGACGACATTGTGTTACCTTTTGCAGATGCGATCCCTTGGGAAGATATTGGTGTTTTTGTGGATGAGAAGGATGTTCCTTACTTGGACACAATACTCACATCGATCCCACCAGAGGTTATACTGAGAAAACAGAGGTTGTTGGCAAACCCATCGATGAAACAAGCCATGCTGTTTCCGCAACCGGCTCAACCAGGGGATGCGTTCCATCAAGTGCTGAATGGGTTGGCTCGTAAGCTGCCTCACGAGAGGAGTGTGTATCTGAGACCAGGTGAGAAGCTGTTGAACTGGACGGCAGGACCGGTTGCTGATCTGAAACCTTGGTAAGGACCAGTATTGGAATTTGATTGAAGGATCCTATTGGTTGGTTCTGTTGTGTCTGTATTTTGTAGAATCAGAACCTTTTTTTGCTATGTAGAAGGGAAAAAGCTTGATCATTGTAATGAAACTATAATCCTTTTGACAACTCACGAGAGAGAGTGAGTAAAAGAAAAATTCTTTGTTCTCCTTCCGTTTATTCAAGTGAAAGTTGAAACTGATATAGAAAAGGGTGAAACGGTCAATTACTATCGTTTTGGGAAATACTAGTAAAGTTTAATTAAAAAATCCGACCTGCCGGAATCGAACCAGCGACCTAAAGATTGTCTGCAAACACTACAGTCTTCCGCTCTACCAACTGAGCTAAGGTCGGCTATTAATTATAACCAGAGACTAATTATATTTAGACTATTAGAGTTCTTAATTATATTTAGACTATAGAGTTCTTAGTTGTGACAAATCTGACGCTTGTATCATATAAGTATATAACTCATAACCATCAACTTACCAAGTAGATTGATTTTTGTAAACCTTTGACTGAAAACAATGGCACTAAACGAAGACAACACAATCTATTAGGAACTTTCAACACCCCTCAGAAGTTGATCTCACGTCTCTCTGCAAAGAATTTTCCGGTTACTGCCTCTTCGGAAAGGACCAGGCTAAGCCAAACTCCAGTATCAGCTGCATCTTCAGGCGGCATATTTCCAGCGTAGCCAGTCATAGCAGTTTTCACCCAACCAGGACAAAAGCTGTTAACATAAATCTTCTCTTCCTCTCCTCTTCTGGAAAGTTCTTTTGCCATTAGTCTTGTGTAAGCATTAACGGCAAGCTTAGACATGGAGTAGTCGGTGAACGTCTGAGGCCACCCGCCTGATTCCCAAGTTCCGTCTTTTACTTGGTTGATGAATATAGAGACACTTCTGTCTATAAGTTCCTCGGTCAGCAAATCCGGATTGCTTAGCTGATCTCTCAACTCTACATTTGCAAGTCTCTGCAATTCATGTCATGAATTTTACAAGATTTTCTTTTTAACAAAAATTCAAAGATAAAAGAGTGAAAGAGATTCTTACATTACGTCTTCCATTTACTCTACCTAGCCGAGAACTAACGTTGACAATACGAGCGCCATGAGGAGATGGTCTCATCAATGGTATCATAGCTTTTGTCATGTTTTTGGTTCCTTGGTAGTTGGTAGATATAACTGTCTCGGCAAATTCAACCGAATTATCTGAGCCGAGATTATAGTTGACACCTGCATTGTTCACCTGAAAAAAACAGTAACACAGATGCATATAATAAAACTAAGAAAACAGAAGAACTATCCCCCAAGATTACGAATCGATAAGGATCTTACGAGAATATCTAAACCTCCAAATGTTTGCTTAATCCAGAAACCAAACTCTCTAATCGACGAAGAGTCCTTGACATCAAGCTGATGAAAATCAACCTTGAGAACTTCTTCTTGGTGCCTCAAGGATTTAACAGCTTCAAGACCAGCATCCACGTTTCTGGCTGTAAGAACAACGGTCAATCCGTGACCCGCAAGCTGTCTTGCAATCTCGAGTCCAATCCCGCGGTTTGAACCGGTCACCACTGCTACATTTTCAGAAGACCACCACCTAAAAAATACTTTGATGCTTAATCACAAGTCAAAATTCAAGAAGATGGCTTGAAAGACACAGACTTCGTTACCAGTTTATTTAAGTTCTCTTGGTTTAGTTAAACACAAATCTATAAGTACCAACAATGCCAATTTAATCCAACTCCCAAATAGAGAAAAAATCGAAACCTAAAAACTCATCAAATGCATAAAACACTGTAATTGAACCAAGAAATAGATGTACGCAAGTGAGATTAGAGATTAACACATGGAATGCTCTGAGATTGAGAATCTCGCAGAGTAAATGATAATGATCTTAGGATAAAAAGAAGCCGAAACAATTGGGACAAATTAGGTTCTTCTTCGAGTCATACCTATGGTGGTCAGAGTAAGGAATAGTTCGAAGGAGAGAGATCTCCTGCATTCTTTTCTCCCTTCTCTCCCGCGCTTTCTCCTTGTTCGTCATCGTCTTCTTCGCTCTCGTCGCGTGTTTGGGGTGTACCGTTTATCTTAGTCCTGACCGTAGGGAATCAAATTCGTTACACATCATCAGCTCTAAACATTAATAAATGAGACCTTCAATTTTAATAGAAAACACATAATAGCCCAAAATCTTTTACTCTAACTAATTAGTCCACCAGTCAAGTCAAATCTCTGTTGAGTGGGTTCATACTCTACTAACTATACCGGTTATTGAACTTTATTCAACAAGTAATTAATGAAAAACTTTTGATGAGATTTATTCAAAATTCCAAACCAATGATTTTGTTTTCCTCAATTTATATTTTAATTTAGTGGTCGTCTAATATCCCATCCATCTCACATAAATGTTTAGTACTATGATAATAAAATTATCGTGTAAGAGATAGAAGAGGAAAATACTAGCGGGTTTGTGACGAGAGCGGTGACGTCACTGGTTACACGTGTCACGTAATAACGATGCTCGCGTCCTTACGTCTCTGCGCTCATGGGCTATTGATAAATAGACAAGTCTCGAATTGTTGTTCCTCTCCTCATTGGGCACTTCATTACGATAGCGGGAAACTCATCGGCTTCTGGAAATTTCCGTTTATCCGATTCCTACTCACGTAAACCTCTCTCTATCTCTCTCTCTCTCTCTCTCTCTCTCTCTCTCTCTCTCTCTCTCTCTCTCTCTGTATATCGTCTCTGTTTCTCTGTGTTTGATTTCGCAATCGAATTCTGGGTTTTGGAATCTTTTATTGTGGTTTGATTTCATATTCAAATTCTGGGGTTTGGAATACTAAGCTAGAAACTGAGATTCCATAGTGGATACGTTCGAATTTCAAAAGTCAATTTACTCTGTTTATGGATGATCTGCTAGAAACCAGATTTTAGATTGTTCTTTTGTTCCAAATTTGATTGTATTTCCGAATAATATATGAAATGACCTTCCGATTTATCTGGCTTTTATCAGTCATGGTTGGTTGCTGAACAAATTTGAATAAGCACATGTACTAAAATCTTCTGGTTAAAATTAGGTTTCAAGTGGTTATCCTCTAGTGTTCATTCGTAGTTTGAGCTAGCTTTAGAGTTTGTGATATTTTATCCATGTTTATGAATTTCATTAGCTGAATCAATCACTTTCCTTTTATCTATGATCTTCAAACAGGAGAGGATGGCTCGTTACCTCAGGAGATCGCTGATCTTGTTCTTAGTTCTGGTCTCATTAACCATATCACCGAGCCAAGGCTTTCTAGGGACAGAGAAAAAGATCAAATCTGCAGTCTTTTACTCACCAAAACTGGTGATGAATCCTGGATCAGTCGCAAATCCTTACTTACTCGACATCGATTTCCCAAGAGGGCATATCGGCCTCAAAGCTTTCGATGCTGAAGTGGTTGACGATGCGGGAAATCCCGTCCCTCTACACGAAACATATCTTCACCATTGGATTATCGAACCTTACTATGTTCGTAAAGGTTCTAAGCTTCCACAGCGAGAAATGTTTAGGAATCACGGATTTTCGAGGCAAGATCCTGAAAGCAATCTTGATTCGAAATCGGATATTATTCTTGTGAAAAACGGAGGCTTATGCAGGAGTGTAGTACTCAGACATTACTTTGGTTTAGGATCAGAAACCCGCAAAACCTCGACGTATCTTCCTGATCCCTACGCAATTGAAATCGGTAATCCTGAGGAAACACCTGATGGATATGAATTCAAATGGCTTCTTAACATTCACGCGATAGACACGAGAGGTGTGGAAGATAAGAAAGGATGCATAGAATGTCTTTGTCATCTGTATAATGTAACCATTGATGAGTACGGTCGAGCTATAAGACCCGGTTACAAAGGAGGTTTATACTGCTGCTATGATAAGACTCAATGTCGGGTGAAAAGCGGATTTGACAATGGGGAGAAAACAAGAACTCTGTATTTGAAGTATACCGTGAGATGGGTTGATTGGGACAACTCTGTTTTACCAGCTAAGGTTTATATTTTCGATGTTACAGATTCTTGGGAAAGATCAGAGGGATCAATAGAAAATAGCCAAGAACATATTTGCCATGTCAGTAACAACTTTCCTATCTGCTTAATGGTCTTCGACTTCATTCTCTAACATTTTCCGGGTTTTTGTGTTCTTTCAGGTGGAATACGAGGTAAAACCGTGCAAAACCAATGGCGATGGATGCATTGATGTTAGGAAAAAGAGCCTAATGATGCCATTTGACGGGTATATTGTCTACGGCGTAGCTCACCAGCACGCGGGTGGTATCGGTGGTGCTCTATACCGAGAGGTAACTAAGACTGATTTACTTTAGGCTACTTTATAACGAAAAGATTGAAACTTTTCAACTGAATTGTGACTCTTGTGCTGTGGATCAGAACGGTGAAGGAATATGCACTTCGATGCCGAAGTATGGCAATGGGGATGAACCTGGAAACGAAGCTGGTTACATTGTTGGAATGTCGTCTTGTTATCCTGCTGATCCAGTGAAAGTGAGCTATGGAGAGACATTGAAGTTGGAGTTTAATTACAGTAATGACGTTGGTCATACCGGAGTTATGGGACTCTTTTACATCCTCGTTGCTCAGCAGCTGCCTGAACCAGAGAACTCCTTGCCTAAACTTTTTGAGGTAACGACCCGGTACTAGAACTCGGTTAAGGTCACACCGGTTTCGATACATGTACGGTTTAGGTGATATTGCCATGTGATTTTTTTAACTGACGTTAGTATTTCTCACTTGTAGGCACCTGCGAGAAGCTTGATCTTTTTAGCCATTTTTGCAGCGACAGTGGTGGTGGCGGTTGTGGTTCTAATTGCCGTCGTGATATACCGTAGGCAGAACCGGGAAGATGGTTACCAATCACTTAGTACTTAAAGAAAGAGCAAAACCATGTCGACTATATATATTTCTCCGAAGTGAATTTTGTTTGTTGTATACATAGAATAAATGATTATTTTGCTGTCATCTTCCTCTGATGTGATATTTCTGTAATGTTACGTACTTACGTGTAAGAAGAACTTTGCTTTCTCAAATACATCACATTCACAGAATATGCAGTGGTCTACAAAACAAAGTTATACACTAATATTATATTCATTGTCTTGATTCCAAATCTTTAATACTTTGCACGATTACAGATATTTAACCTCTATAACATATGAATTACTCTACATCCAAATTTGTGGGTTTTCACTGTCTAATATCATCTATATGATCAAAAGTAAAATTCAGTTACTAGTTAGTTAAACAAAAGAAAGAAAAACTATTTACTGTCACTGTTCTGGTTCAACCGACACATTGTTCTGGTTCGAAGCAGCTAAACCGGTTAAAATTGACTCGTTGCTGTGATTCACTCAAACTAGACCGGGTTTTATTTGACTGGTGGTGTGTTTTGTGTGTCAGATATGTCGGAAACATTTTGAAGTGGTCCATGAAAAATAATGGAGATTCCAGCTGTCCATGGAAGATTTGAGGCTGATATTTTTGCTCACCGACCTCAATCTCAGAGACAAAAGTTTTGTCCAACGAATTTCATTTTTGAATTCTGATTTTGAATAAATCCGAGATTCTTTCTTCTTCCAAGAATGAAGGGACCATAGAATCGTCCAAGACTGTTGAAACTTGAAAGCTTTCCAATTTTGCTCATCTGGGTTTCTCGATTGATCGTTAATCAGCGATGGAGGCAGAGAAATCCAAGAAAAATCCGGTTAAGAAGCCCGTAGAGGCAACAATGGAGCATGTGTTGGTGGCATTACGAGAGACCAAGGAGGAGAGGGAGACCAGAATTCGAAAACTGTTCGAATTCTTCGACAATTCGAAGTTAGGGTTCTTAGACGATACCCAGATCGAGAAAGGTTTGTCTTCGCTTAGTATTCCTCAAAATTATAGGTACGCTAGTGATTTTCTTAAAGTCTGCGACGCGAATCGAGATGGGCGTGTGGATTACCAGGAGTTTCGTCGTTACATGGACTCTAAGGAGCTTGAGCTCTACAAGATCTTCCAGGCCATTGATGTCGAACACAATGGCGACATTTGTCCAGAAGAGCTTTGGGAGGCTCTTGATAAAGCTGGTATGTGATTTTTGATTTTTCTTACTGTTCTATTACTTGCTATTGTTACTTTGCAAGTATCTTCCCTTAGCAAAAGTGGAAACTTTTATGGGTTTATGGATGTGGATTTTGCTTAGATTGCTTGTTACTAATAGATTGGTTGGTTGTTTTGAGTCTTTTGATGGATTTCTTGTAATTTCTTCTAATTGCAACTATGCGAGCTATTTGTTCGATATCATGATTTTCCTGGAGGCAAATGTTTGGGTCAAAGAAGGAAGACCTTTTGGGTGATTGTCTTGTTTGCTGTTGTTATATGAGTAAGACAGTTTTATCTGTCTATTAGATGGATTTGTGGTTCAGGCAAATTTAAATGTGTGTTGTCCTCCGTTGATCCCTGGAAAATAGAAAGTTCTAGATGAGGAGATTCATCATAATAACAATGTCTGCTTAACCTTTGCCATTGTTCTGTTTGCAAAAACCGTGGGATGTGAATTGCTTTATTGGGTTTTACAAAATTGTCTCGGCGAGTCTATTGGCAAAGTTAGCTCTTTTATTTTTTACATGCTTTCATTTTTCAAAATTTTGTAGGTTATTATTGTGTAACAGTGTTTTCGACGTAAATTGACTTCACTGTTATGTTCTTGTAGGCATTAAAATTAAAGATGAGGAACTCGCTTCTTTTATGGAGCATGTTGATAAGGACAACAACGGAATTATAACTTTTGAAGAGTGGAGGGATTTTCTTTTGCTTAACCCTCATGAAGCCACAATTGAAAACATTTATCATCACTGGGAAAGAGTATGCTTAATTGACATTGGGGAACAAGCTGTTATACCAGACGGTATAAGTACACACGCTCAAAGAAGCAAATTACTTCTCGCTGGAGGAATAGCAGGAGCTGTTTCTAGAACCGCGACTGCGCCTCTGGACCGTCTGAAAGTTGCTTTGCAAGTTCAACGTACAAATTTGGGCGTTGTCCCGACCATTAAGAAAATATGGAGAGAAGATAAGTTGTTGGGTTTCTTCAGAGGTAATGGGTTAAATGTAACGAAAGTCGCTCCTGAAAGCGCCATAAAGTTTGCTGCTTATGAAATGCTTAAATCCATAATTGGGGGAGTGGATGGTGACATTGGTACAAGCGGGAGGCTTTTGGCTGGTGGATTGGCTGGTGCAGTGGCTCAAACAGCTATTTATCCTATGGATCTCGTGAAGACTCGGTTACAGACTTTTGTGAGTGAAGTTGGGACACCAAAGCTGTGGAAACTCACGAAGGATATTTGGATTCAAGAAGGACCCCGAGCTTTTTACAGGGGTCTTTGTCCTTCTCTTATTGGGATTATACCTTACGCAGGAATTGACCTTGCTGCTTACGAAACTCTTAAAGACTTATCAAGGTCACATTTTCTTCATGACACTGCCGGTTAGTTACTAATCGTGCCTTTTAAAGTTTCTGTAAATTCTTAATATCCACATGATACTAAACCGTATATGCTGTGCAGAGCCAGGTCCTCTCATACAACTGGGATGTGGAATGACGTCTGGAGCTCTTGGAGCATCGTGTGTTTACCCATTACAGGTCATAAGAACAAGGTAAAGAGACTCGCAAAATCTAAGATTTTAGTATATCTATTTTCTTCTTTTTGGTATGAAACTGAGTTTAGTCATTTATCATTAGAATGCAAGCTGATATCTCAAAAACTAGCATGATCCAAGAGTTTCTGAAAACGCTAAGAGGCGAAGGTCTAAGAGGTTTTTACAGAGGAATCTTCCCCAACTTCTTCAAAGTCATTCCTTCCGCAAGCATTTCGTACCTTGTCTACGAAGCTATGAAGAAAAATCTGGCCCTTGATTAAAAAAAAATAAGCAAGAAACCTAATGTTGTGTTCACGGAGAGATACAGTAAAAACTCCTTGATGATGGCGAAAAAAAACTTGAGCTTTCCGGTTTTTTTTGTGGATTCGGTAAAGGTCATTTCGGAGTGTAGAAAACTAAAATTGTAACCTGATCTGATTGATTCTTCTTCACAGTTTGGTGAGTCCATAAAGAGTTATTTCTTAAGCAGAAAGTTTCCCGAGAAAATAGTTTTAATGCAAAAATCGTTCGTCACTGAAATTGTGAATTCTCCCTTTAAAAGAGAAAGCTTTAGTGAATCTGATCTTTGATCAACTGAATGATTAATTATTGTAGTTGTTCATATCTCTTGAAGCTGTGTAGAACCCTTAAGCATCTGCATCAATTTCACGCCCAATTCATCACTTCGGGACGAATCTCCAGTAGTCTCAACCAGAACTCTGTTTTCGCCAATGTCCTCTTCGCCATCACCTCTATTTCACCGTCCGCGTCGACGTCGAATGTGGTCGTGAGCTACGCGACTTCGGTTTTGAGATTCATCACAAACCCATCAACGTTTTGCTTCAATACGATCATTAGGATTTATACGCTTCATGAGCCGTTGTCTCTCTCTTCTCAACGTTTCTTCGTGGAGATGCGACGTCGCTCTGTTCCTCCCGATTTCCACACTTACCCTTTCGTATTCAAGGCTTGTGCAGCAAAGAAGAATGGTGATCTTTCATTAGTCAAGACTCTGCATTGTCAAGCTTTGAGATTCGGATTGTTATCTGATTTGTTCACTCTCAACACTCTGATTCGGGCTTACTCATTGATGGCCCCAATCGGTAGTGCCTTGCAGCTGTTCGACGAAAATCCTCAAAGAGATGTTGTTACCTACAATGTGTTGATCGACGGGTTAGTGAAGGCATGTGAGATTGTTCGTGCAAGAGAGTTATTCGATTCAATGCCCTTTCGCGATTTGGTTTCTTGGAATAGTCTCATTGCTGGGTATGCACAGATGAATCAGTGCAGAGAAGCAATCAGTCTCTTCGACGAAATGATTGGTTTGGGCTTAAAACCGGATAACGTCGCCATTGTTTCAACTCTTTCAGCTTGTGCACAATCAGGGGATTTGGAAAAAGGGAAAGCTATTCATGATTACACGAAAAAGAAGAGACTTTTCATTGATTCGTTCTTAGCTACTGGATTGGTGGATTTCTATGCAAAATGTGGCTTCATCGACACAGCGATGGAGATCTTCCACTTATCTTCAGATAAAACTTTATTCACATGGAATGCAATGATCACTGGTCTTGCAATGCACGGTAACGGCGAGCTAACGGTTGACTACTTTCATAAGATGGTTAGTTCTGGAATCAAACCGGATGGAGTAAGCTTCATAAGTGTTTTAGTGGGCTGCAGCCATTCTGGACTAGTTGGTGAAGCCAGAAAGCTTTTCGACCAGATGAGATCTTTGTATGATGTTGATAGAGAGATGAAACATTACGGGTGTATGGCGGATTTGCTTGGAAGAGCAGGGTTAATCGAAGAAGCAGCGGAAATGATAGAGCAAATGCCTAAAGATGGAGGAAAAAGAGAGAAACTATTAGCATGGAGTGGTTTGTTAGGCGGATGTAGAATCCACGGGAACATAGAAGTCGCAGAGAAAGCTGCAAAGCGAGTCAAGGCGTTGAGTCCCGAGGATGGAGGAGTGTATAAAGTAATGGTGGAAATGTATGCAAATGCAGAGAGATGGGAGGATGTAGTTAAGGTTAGAGAAATGATCGAAAGAGACAAGAAGGTGAAGAAGAATGCTGGATTTAGTAAAGTTTTGTCTTATTAGTCCATCTCTATTTGTTATCTTATCCATGATTACCTGATAAACTTAAAAATTTTAATGGGCCCAGGCCCAACACCTATGCTCAAGTTCAAGTTGCTGTTAAATGTGCACGTATATAGCAAAATAACAGTGCACGTAGAAGAGCTCGCTTTTGAATGACGTGGCATGTTATGATTGGGTAACGTCGCGTGGCGAGAGATTTGATTGGTGGAAACAACAAAATGACACACTCGACCGGGTCTACGGGATTGAATATATAATTTAATTCTGAGAAACTAAAAAATACATTTCACGAAGGATTTTTTCCGATCTACTTGTCCGGCTATTCACCGATTTAGATCTAATCCTGAGGTTTCCTTTGGCCTATTGAGGATTCCGAGAATGAGACAACGGCAACTATTTTCCGGCTTTTTGCTTCTCTTAGCTTTCGTTTCGTTCCAGAAGCTTTGCTACTGTGACGATCAAACGGTAATTTCGATTCTTCCTGTGTTCTTTGAATATTCTTGCTAGATCCGAAGATTTAGATCTATCGTTGTTTAACTGAGTTTTTTTTTTTTTGGTTTTGGATTCTCGATTCTGTTTCAGGTTCTTTATGAGTCTTTCGATGAGCCTTTTGATGGTCGCTGGATCGTTTCGAAGAATAGTGATTACGAAGGTAAACTATTTATTGTCTTTGAATTCCCTCTGCATTGTGGTTACTATATTGTTCTGATCTGTGTCTGTAATTGGAATTCAAATACTACTCAATTATTGAAGTGAAGCTTGATGTATTGCACTCAACATTATAGAGGAATCGAATCGAGAATTTTGAATCGAATCTGACTATGTAGATGCAATCTCGGCATTTTATGAACAGTTTTGCAATGGCATTTGTTTTGACTTGAAGCTGTTGATGATTTTCCAATTTTGCATTGAAGCTTCTTTTTTAACACCATTTTTATCTGTTTCAGGTGTATGGAAGCATGCAAAGAGTGAAGGACATGAAGATTATGGACTTCTCGTGAGTGAGAAGGCTAGAAAGTATGGGATTGTGAAAGAGCTTGACGAGCCTCTAAACCTCAAGGAGGGAACTGTTGTTCTTCAGTACGAGGTTCGTTTCCAGGAAGGACTTGAGTGTGGAGGTGCTTACTTGAAGTACCTCCGTCCTCAAGAAGCTGGATGGACACCTCAGGGATTCGATAGTGAATCCCCTTACTCTATCATGTTTGGGCCTGACAAGTGTGGAGCTACAAACAAAGTGCATTTCATCTTAAAGCACAAGAATCCCAAGAGTGGCGAGTACGTTGAACACCATCTGAAGTTCCCTCCCTCTGTTCCTTATGACAAGCTTTCCCATGTCTACACCGCCATCTTGAAACCCGACAACGAGGTTAGGATTTTGGTTGATGGAGAGGAGAAGAAAAAGGCCAATTTACTCTCTGGTGAAGACTTTGAGCCTGCATTGATCCCTGCCAAGACCATCCCTGACCCTGAAGACAAGAAACCAGAAGACTGGGACGAAAGAGCCAAGATTCCCGATCCAAATGCCGTGAAACCTGATGACTGGGATGAGGATGCACCCATGGAGATCGAAGATGAGGAAGCTGAGAAACCCGAAGGATGGTTAGATGATGAGCCTGAGGAGGTCGATGACCCCGAAGCGACCAAGCCTGAAGATTGGGATGATGAGGAAGATGGTATGTGGGAGGCTCCTAAGATTGACAACCCCAAATGTGAAGCAGCACCAGGTTGTGGTGAATGGAAGAGACCAATGAAGAGGAATCCTGCTTACAAGGGAAAATGGAGTTCACCTCTTATTGATAACCCGGCTTACAAGGGAATCTGGAAACCCAAAGATATTCCTAACCCTGACTACTTTGAGCTAGACAGACCCGATTACGAACCCATTGCAGCCATCGGTATTGAGATCTGGACAATGCAAGATGGTATCTTGTTTGACAACATCTTGATAGCGAAGGACGAGAAGGTCGCTGAGACTTACAGACAGACCACTTGGAAGCCCAAATTCGATGTTGAGAAAGAGAAACAAAAGGCAGAAGAGGAAGCTGCTGGCTCTGCAGATGGTCTCAAGAGCTACCAGGTAAATTGATTTTCCACAGAATTGAACTTATTAATATATATCGAGGTTTATGTATGAATACTTACAGCTGTATTTATTATGTGCATGATATTGCAGAAGGTTGTTTTCGACCTCTTGAACAAGGTTGCAGATTTATCTTTCCTAAGTGCCTACAAGTCTAAGATCACGGTAAGTTCTGGTTCCTTTACCATAACATTGAATGCTATGATTTGTTGATGACTCGACCTTGAGTGATGATGTGAAATGTTTGTTTTGTAGGAACTGATTGAGAAAGCTGAGCAACAACCAAACTTAACCATTGGTGTCCTCGTCTCCATTGTGGTTGTATTCTTCTCGCTCTTCCTCAAGCTTATCTTTGGTGGCAAAAAGGTAAAAAAAAAAATTCCTTGAGTTTTATGCAAAATGGTCATTTTTGGATAGTGAGAAGAATCTAATGAATAAATCAAAATGGTGAAATAGGCGGCACCTGTGGAAAAGAAGAAACCAGAAGTAGCAGAGAGTTCAAAGAGTGGGGATGAGGCGGAGAAGAAGGAAGAAACCGCGGCACCACGCAAAAGGCAACCGAGACGTGATAATTAGAACAAGTTTTTAAGTAGTTTTCGAAGATGTGAAAGGAAAGTTGAGTTTCTCTGTTTTTGGTTTTGGGTTGAATGTTGTTTTCTGCTGTAGCCTATAATGGTGTAACACCAAGTTTGGGAATTTTTTCTCTTTCGGCGAAGAAAAGTAGGAAGGAATATGTAAGTGAATGAAGACGCTTTCTTGACAGCCCTAAATTGTAGTTTCTGTTTCTTCTTTCATCCCCTTTAATAGTAACTTGTTACTCCAAACATTTGAGTTTCTTTTTAAAATCAAAAGAGTTTATAACGAAAGTTTGGTAACAGATTGACAAAAGCAAAAGTTTGGGTAACAGATCGTGTTAGCAATAGGTTGAATCATTCTTTTAGCTATTATTACCCCTTGGAAGGAAAAAGAGAAGAAAGAATCTCGAAAAGAAAAACGACTAAAGAAAGCTCAAAACATAAGTTAGACATTAACGAAATAGAAAGTCCCTCTTATGTTGACTTTGGTAACCTTGAAGTTTACTTCACCTTATTATGTTTCTTTGTCAAACAAAAATAAAGAACAGAAAGATCGTCTCGTTTCGTACTCCTAAATATAAAATTTCTTTTGAAGTCTATAATAAAAAAAAAAAAGATAAATTGAAAAAGAAAAAGGATAAGGAAAAAAAAAAAAAGAGTTCTACACGTTACAAAAAGTTTGATGCTTTGCAGGCAAACATCATCTCGCTTCTGAGAAACGATGAATTCTCTCTTCCTCCTCATGATGCCTTCTTGGACCATAAAGTTTTCACCGCTGTGAAACACTTACCCGCGACCCGGTTTCCTGACTGGAACAGTGTCCTCATCATCAGATTGGATGTCTCCATACTGCCAGATTCCGGTCCTAGATTTGCGAGCTTCGTCTTGGAACTTCTCAAGTGCATCAAGAGCAGCTTGCTTATCTTTCGGTTCCCATTTCCTGCGTTTCTCCATCCTCGCTATTCCTTCCTGTGATCATAACAACACATTTCACTCTCAGGTTTAAGACAATACTCTTAACTCAAAAGTTTTGGAGGAGTTGAAGAGAAGGCTGGGCACTGACCTGAAGCATTGCTGCATTGACAGAGATCTCATCATCGACAGCGATGAGAGTTACAGCAAGCTTGGTTCCAGTTCCTTGGCCCTTCACTTTTCCTCCTGAAGTATCTCTTTCCTCTACCACTGCCTTGAACTCTTTACCACTTCCGAGTGTTACGGTATGCAAATACTCTCCGGCGTCAGGACCAAAGTCGTCTTCCAGGCCTGGAACTTTTATGTAGGCAAGTCTGCAGAGCTGTGCGAGCCCTGGTGCTGAGGATACTGAAGGGTCCACAGGGCGAATTGCGCTGTATGGAACCGTTTCTTGGTTTCCATAATCGATGTAGAACACTTCGAATTTCTCCTCTGGAGATTGAACTGCTCCTCGAGGTCCATCAACAATCTAAACAAAAATACGAAATACAATAAACAACCATACGTGATAGTAAAGAAGAAGAAGTAATGGTTGGCATATTTAGAAACTTTATAATTTACCATTGCACGGTTCCAGGAGTTATCGAGGCTAAACTGTGCAAGGACGATGTCACCCCTCTTAGGATTAAATGATCCAATAATGGGAGCATCTTTAAGACTCAGAGATGCAAGCTGGTTTTGAATCGAAGCTACTTTTTGATCACCAACCGTCTGAACATAGAATCGACCGCCTCCAAGTACTTCCGTAACAACAACCTGTAGCAATTAAGAGTGAATTAAGGTTTTGGTTTGAGTATTGAAAATTGACTTGTAGAAAGAATCATACGGCTAAATTTACCTTTAATGTTTCCTTCTGCCTGGTTTCTACTTTAGAACTACCGTTTACGACTTCCTCTCCTTCAACATAGTTTTCCCAAATCTGTGACATCATGCGGTTTAGCAAGTAAAGTTTTTGAACGAGATGCATTTCTTTAGTAAAAGATATCATGTATTTGATGTTACCTTCAGTTTCTGATTTTTAGCAGATCGCTCTGCCAATTCAAGAATGTGAGCTTCGGGAATCCTGTCTGCACCAAAGCCAGTCTGCATTTTTGCCAGACCAGCTTCAAGAAGATATGTTCCTGCGTTGGTCTTCGACTCCCACATTGATCCCAAGAAAGTACCGGTTCTATCCACAGTTTCCACTACAATCTATGTGATTATAAGAAACTATGTAAGACTCATAGAAAAGAAAAGAGAAGAAAGCAAAATTGAGGTGTGGCGTAATATGTTCAATTTACCTCAACATCTCTCTGCATGATCTTACGTCTCATTAAAGCAATAGCTTCTTCCGAATAGGGTTCGCCACGGCCAGGACATCTGACACCAGAGAATGCAAAGGCAATGCTGCACGTTTCCTTTGGAATGTATAGCTTGAACCGATGTCCACTCAGGACATATTCCACAACGGCAGATATTCTCTTGCCTCTGCTCAGGGATGGCAGGAAATCTTTAGCCTTCTTGGCCGAGGCCACAGTCAGGTCTGTAATGTGCATGGCTGGAGAATCCTTTGCAGAATGGATTCCCTTCTTCCCAGCAATAGCACGAGCTTCAGCAGCCAGGAGAGCGTCATAATGGTTCGATCTCTCTTCAAAGTCACGATGTCTAACCACAGTCCCATAGCCACGGGCAATAATGAGTTCAGCAATATTCGCTCCAGGAGTTGCTGCAGCTGCTACATCTGCATCACCCTTGGTAGTGGATGGAAGGAACACTGAGCCAAAATCCATGACCCTATCACCAGCTCCAGAAGTAGTAACACCATCTCCTGGGCTAATCTTCCTTGAGTATTCCATTTGAACAATAACCTGAACCGAGGAAAAGGAAGTCAGAGATCTTGACCTCTGTAGCACACCGATGATTTAAGTAAGAAGGCACAACGCAATAGATACCTCCTTTCCGATAAGCTTTAGTCTCAGAAGATCCTTGGCTTCCCACGCATAAGGGGCAGGTTTCTCCTCTCTGCGTGGGTTACCCATTTTAGGAGCCCTGATACTGGAAAGGCAAACTCTGCGCTCTGCCATTGGGCTTCCGAATGGGATAGAATCATCAGCAACTACTAAGCAGTCCCCGCTCACAACTTCCACTACCTGAAGAGAGTACAAACTAGTAAGAACTAAGAACTGGTGAAATGGGCGGACGGAAATATATTTACCAAGAAATGTGAGCAAGCAGATATTACCTTTCCGGTAAAGTTCTGGTCATGAATTGCCTTAGAGTTGCTAGCTGGAGGGACATAGTTTGCCCACATTTTCACCCGGTTTTTCTTGCATTGGAGTTCTGTAGCTTTCAATTTCTTTTTGGCTTCTTCATCCAACATGTTGGCACTCCACTCAACGTACTTAGCAAGACCCTGAGCAAAAGGAATAGCAGCCAGTGTCATAACTTTTATTCAACACCATCAAAAGATCATATTTGCCAGTGATTTCGTATATCAGAACTGATGTACCAAGAAAACCACAAACTATGAACAGGTCAACTTAATCTTAATCTTAAGTTATACCAGTATCGTTGTGGCAAAGCCAAACTTTTTTGGCCAATAAGTTCAATAATGTAATCATGTCGAAAAATTAAGGCACGTACATTTTCAACCAGCTCCAAACCCAAGTCTTTAACTGTATCCCCATCGGAATAGTATACTGACCCAATCAGATTGTTGAATTTGTCAACGCCTTCAAGAACAATACGAACCTGCACAATCCAGCTCAACTTATATCAAGTAAATGTCAAATACAGATACATGTGAGTTAATTTGTTGTAAAACCTCCTTACATCTCTATTAAGCACACGAAGCTCAGTAAAGTACTTGGCTTCCATTGCAAACGGATCAGAGGAAACCTCGACAGACGATGCTGCTGAGGCAGCGAGTCTCTGAGCTGATGTTAGAGGACCACGCGTCTCAGCAGAAGCATCTCCATTCGAAGTTGCTGTAACATCCGGCTCAACAACAGCTTCTTGTGTAGATTGTCTCCTTCCCATCGATGGAGCCTACATAGAAAATTTCCAGCAATCTTACACCATGAGATTAAAATGTCAACTCCTCACGCAGCAAAAATAAGGACATAAGATTCCATATACCTGGAGTCCAGCAACAAATACTTGCACAAACTGAAATTCCGGAAGAAGATAAACCCGAAGGGTACTGCCATCACGGACTTGCTCAACAATACCTTCCATGGGTTTGCCTTTACTTGCGGCTAAAAGACCCATGGCATCAAAATTGCCAGAATCTCCAACAGCAGAAGGAGGAAGATTTCTGATAGATGCCTCAGCAGCACCAGGAACCTGTATCAAGTTAATTCCATCACCAAATCAAGGTAGAATACAGAAACTCTCTGAAGTCAATTTCAGTGGGAGATATCTAATCATAAAACTCTCAGGAGAATCTCACAGAGATAAAAACCCAAATATCTTCAAGTTGGTTCCCCATATTTTGAGTAGACAATAGATAGAATAATTCCAAATGTTTAGAAACTTGAAGTTAATTCCAAATGACAAACCAAAATTTATAGAAACAGAATAAGAGACACAAACCTTGCTCCAACGACCAAATCCTTCCTGCTGAGCCTGCTGTTCAAGCTGTACCAGCTCCGCAATGTAAGGACTAACCTTATCCTGATTCTGCTGACCTGGCCCTCTGACCTGTGCATAGTACAAGCAATCCTCCACCATATTAGAAAGCTGATGCGAGCATCATACCTTAGACAAGGCTATCGAGTGAAATAAAATGGTAATCACCTTTGCCCATCCATTTTGAACAACAAGCTTAGCAAGATTTTCGTGACCAAGGTAAACCGAGCCAAATTCTCTTCCGGCAATAGCTTCCACTTTGTAATCCACTTTGAAAGCCACCTCCTGCTCAAGAAAAAAAAAAGGTTTAAACTGTTAATATCAATGAAGCAAACATTCTCAAATCCATAACCTATGGTATAAGTGATAAAGAGATTCAACATAGCACTTTTCCAATGCAAAGCTTCCTCAGAAACTCCCTGCTTTCCCATGCAAAAGGCTCATCTATACCTCCCCTGCGAGCCTGAAACAATGAGAAACATAACGTACCTATGTAAATATTGAAAACTTTTGTTAGTAAAAAAGGGTTGGGAAAGGAATGATTTTTTTAATTAAGCTGACCATTTTAGGAGCCATAAGAGAAGAAAGAGTGATGGTCTTTTCCGGTGGTGGGCCAGCTCTGTTGTGGGTCAAAGCCGTGATCACCAAGCAGTCTCCGGAGGTAACAG